GTATAATTATGGGTAAGTGTATTTAAATTAGATAAAACGATTGCCATTGGTGCTAATTCTGTTGTTCGAAAACTCTTTAAACTAAACTAAAAATCATTAAAAATTTGTTTAGTCCTGTCAAACAACGTTTCAGAAACGTTGTTATTTGACAGGACAATTTTTTTTTAAAGCGCCGCTAACTACCGTCGCCCAAGGACACCTGGAACTCATACGAGACAAGTGCGTAGCCACTCTTTGTGTTCCCTCTCCCCTCCAGGATAAGAGACGGGGGGGGAGGGGGCTGAGGCACAATAATAGAATCCGGAATAGGATATTTTTATGAAGGAGAAATTAAGTCACAGAATCGACATTTATGAGAGCTAAACCGCGAGTAAATCTAGTGAATGATAAGGAAACAATACTTAATGTTGTAGACGGCTGTCAAGTCAAATCATTTTCATTTCATTACACGTCAAAATGACAGATGCGGTTTATTCGTATGAAATACTAAGGCGTGACGTCATAGGTATTGTCAAGTCATTTAAATCTCGATTTTTATGATATAAAAACATTTAATTGATAATGCAGGGCGATTTAGCCTGTGCTTTAAAATGTTACATTGCATGATTCAGGTCAAATACCCTATTAGGTTGGGTCAAATAAGGTATTTAATATTAATTAAATTTAAACTAGCCTGTTGGTCTAATTGTTATTAAACCTGACTACTAAGCCAGAGGTCATGAGTTTGATTCCCGACCCAGGACATTTAAATAAGTTTGATACGAGCAATTTAAATATCAAGAATATAATAATAATAATTCATTGCACTGCATTGACTGCACGGATGGCGTAGTGGTTTAAGCGGTCGCCACGCCGCTCACTACTACTCTGAGTGTTGTGGGTCCAATCCAGACATGGGACGAAACTTTGTGTGATTCACAAATTGTTGTTCTGAGTCTGGGTGTTCTTTGTGTCCAGTTCATGTATGTTTGTAAAGTCCCCCGCGACACAGGATATATTATTAATGCGGGAGTTGTGTTTTTTAAATAATAAAAAATAATTAATAATTTATTCAAGATAATTGTGTACAATAGTCTAAGACCCAATCTCTCGAACTAGGTGAAAACCTGTATCTCGAAAGATAGTGCCCTCTAGCTGCCTGCCTAGCTGCTCTAGTTGTGTTGTATGTGAGTGTGTGTGTGTGTGCGCGTGCGCATGTGTGTGTGTGTGTGTGTGTGTGTATGCGTGTGTGTGCGCGTGTGTCTGTGTGTGTGTGTGTGCGTGTGTGTGTGTGGGTGGGTGGGTTGTGTATGTGTGTGGGGGATTTTGTGAGTGAGTGTAGGTGTGTGTATGTGTCGGACACGCCGTTATTCCTGTGGTAAGACCCGTTATGGAGGATTGGCTCGATAGGCGTCACAGAACCCTCTCATACCGGCTGACGCAGGTGATCACCGGAGAGGTTGTTTCTGAGATCACCTGTGTCTGATCCGCAAGGAATCAACGCCTGACTGCCACCACTGCGATGGCCGGACCGTGGACACGGCCCTCCACACATTGACAGAATGCCCGGCGTGGGAGGAGCAGTGGCGTGACCTCGTGGTGGCCATTGGAATCCTCTCGCTCGGTAGTATGATTACCGCCATGGTACGGAGCGAGAGTGCGTTGAACTCCGCCGTCTCTTTCTGCGAGCAGGTTATGCTTGCGAAGGAGATGGCGGAGCGGGACCGGGAAAGGTTTAGAACTCTCCCAGCCCGCCAGGCCCGGGAACGGGCCAGATACCGCAGACGACTCGGGGCCGGAGTTCGCAGAACGACCTCCGTCCTCCATAAGCGCAGGCCGTATTAAACCTTAGGTACTATGCCAGAGGTAGTAACGCTTATCACAATATGTAATGACTGTTTTATTAAGTGATTACTAAATCAAATGTCATTAAGTTTTATCACCGGCCAATCACTGCATACATTGTAATATAATCAACGACAAATTTCTAATGGTTGACTTACGTACCAAAAAAACATTTATTAAAATTCTTGAATAAATAATTGACCTAAGAGCTGCCCTCTTAGGTCAATTATTTATTCAAGAATTTTAGAAGTAGGGCATTTGATTACAATGTCAGGGATTGTTTATGAAGTTCTAATTTTATTATTAATTTTTTATTTGACTATTTTACTTGTGTATTTAAAGTGAAACCTTATTACATTGGCTCAATTTTTTTCGTCCATCTATTGCATGTCGCATTACAGCCAAGTCCAATATGGCGGCGCTCGCATCAGCTGACCGTGTAGCATTTATATTCTCACTCATTCGAGTCATTCGAGCAAGTGCTCCGCGGTAGAATAATTAAGTTCAATATGATTCAATGATTTAAATAAATATTGTGGACAGTTTTTAACATGCGTTTGTCATCTGAATGATTACATTTATTGAAATGAAATTTTATAGTTAAGTATAGTAAAAGTAAGCTTAATTTGTTTTTAGGGTTCCGTACCTGAAAAGGTAAAAAAGGCACCCTTATAAGTTCACTTTCTTGTCCGTGTGTCACCATCGATTTTCTCAGGAACGGGTAGACCTAGCAATTTATACCAAATACTGAAGTCTATGGTCCCTATTAGGTGTATAAAAATCAAGGTCCCGAGTCAACACGATAAAAAGATATGGGCAAATTTCAATTTTCGCGAAAACTTGTAAGTACCAAAATTTACCTTAATTTTCAACTTTTGTTTGGTTTTTTTTCTTTTTATATTAGAGGGGCAGACAAGCAGACGGGTCACCTTATGGAAAGTGACTATCGCCGCCCATGAACGTCCGCAACTCTGGAGTCACAGACGCGTTGCCGGCCTTTTAGGAAGGAGTACGCTCTTTTCTTGAATGTTTGAAGCTGGTGCTGGGTTTTCTTTACCCCAATTGACCTTCTTAGTCTAAAGACCTTCTTAGCCTTTGCTTGGTCTAAAAATGATTATATTCCCAACGGGAAAGGCATCAGGCAGTTTTTCGGAGATAAAAGAAGCCAAACCCTATTGCAATATTACAAATTGCGCCAAACCTAAAAAATAATTTTGAAAAGCGCAAAAAAACAATGACGACATGCTATAATGAAACCTGAGTTGTTCACACGGGAACTAATAAAATGTCTGTTTCTATGCAATCATGCTCATTTTATCAACTAAAGCGGGATCACATAAGAGGAGTAAAGATAACGTTATCTCAATGTACACAATATTGAACAAACAGACAAAAAATAAAGTAGAAATACGGAATGACGAAATACTCGTACTACCAGAAAGGTACAGCTTCTTAGGTACGGTTCAGACAACTAAAGGTGGGCACTGAAAATCAGTACTGAGGTGGCATCGATCTACCTTAGTGTACACTGAGGGTCCACCTATTTTCTGAAAAAACGGCGTACAACCCTCAGCAATATTAAAGGTTTTTTGGTTGAATACGAGGCACATTGACGTGTCATGTCAATTCTCTCGGGTATAAAAGATTGACACGTTGAAAAATGTTGTTGTTAATGTGTGTTTCAAACATTACTTGATTCTTAGTTTCTTTGTGTATGTTATTTTTTGTTTTATTTTTGTATGCTGTGCTTTATGAAATAAATAATATTCTATACTATTCTTCGTGACCTATTTTTTTACTTTCATCAACAGCCTTTAATAGTCCACTGCGAGACATAGACCTCTCCTTATAAAAGAGGTTTTGGCCTACTATACCACGCTGGCTAGACGGGTCGGTATAAGATTTGTGTCAAGTTTTCCTTCTCTTTGTAGGGCTGTTGTCTTGATCCGGATACCTAACTAAATTTGTAAAGAGTTTTAACTAAGTAGATCTCTCCTTTCTAAGGAGAGGCCTATGTCTAGCAGTGCACTACTAAAGGCTGTTAATGTGATGTGTGAATTGACAAAGTAAATAATTGGAAGAATGCAGTAAAATGGTAATGATGAGGCATCATAAGTGTTTGGTTTGAGTTTGCTACATTATTTCATAAGTGTACTCAGTCAGAAGCGATGTAGGAATTTACTTTAATTTCCCTAGAATGATCGTATGCGATTACCGTGAGTTGCATTGAAGATTGCATTTGCTACAATGTATTCAACTTTTTGAAGTGAAAACTTCTTAAGGCGCGTTGGAGATTTGGCAACAACAAACAAAATAATGTATTGTTTGAGATGAGAAAAAACCATTGAACTCGCGATACTGTTACCGTTACCGACACCTCTGTATATTAGTATCTACATATATTGGCCCCGTAGAGAGATGAGTTTGGGTTGAAATACATTGATAATATAATTGCATATTTATATAATTTAAACATATATTATGTATAAAAAAAACCTGTTATAATAAAAAAAAAGTTTTTACTTCTGTCGGCACTCCCAGAGAGCCACTGTTTTGATTTTTGTTTTTTTTTGGTTTATTTTAGGCTGGGCTAACCTTACCGCCACCCCGCCGTAAACCCCGGTGGGTGATGGCCCGAGGGGTTTTCCACACGTAAAAGAAAAAAAAAGCCACCTTATCACCGCAGCAACAGCGGTCCTTCTATTTCAAGCGTAGTACGGCACATAGTGTGGTTTTAGTAGGTCTCGGTCTGACCAGGCCTCACTAATAAACCCAGTAAGGTATCACCGTATCATTTAGACAAGAAAAAAATTGGCTTGCCACCATGAAGATTTTTTATCTAATTTTAAAAGGAGAAAATAAGTGATGGCGGGCTTTGGGTCTATACGATATCATTTTTTTTTCAAGACGTAATAATAATAGATTCTGACGTAACATGGCCGTCTGATCCCAAACTAGCCAGAGTCTTTTTTTGTGTTAAAGTGCTGTTAAATGTACTTATATATTTTTAAACACATAAACACATATTCTTAATGCGGGAGTTATTAAAAAAAAATGCTCTGGCATAGCAGTCAGGACCACTAGACCAACAAGCCAATTCAACAGTAACGTTAGTAATTAACCTAAAAATAATAAATAATTTATTTCTATGTAGTTTACAATATAATGTCACTCACATGGCTTTCTCCCTCAATATCCTAGCATAGTCATCATTCCCCACGCAGCCGAAGTATGTACACACTTTAGGTTTCTTGAGTATCCACTGCGCAACCCTCAGGGTGTTCTGGACACTGCCACCAGCTATGAATTCAGCATGATATCTGCCAAAGTGCAAACAAAAATTAGTAATGATATTTACCAAAAAACTAGGATACTTAAAACTATGTTATTTTTGTGGTGTAAAGAAGTACACAGGTCATCTTATGATAAGTGTCTACCACAGCCTATAGACACCTGCAACTTGAATATTGGCTTGCTCAAAAGTAATACCGTTGCCAAGTGAGGTAACTGTTCCGTTGCTCTTGACGAAGTGATTGAGGTTACTGGAAGCCTGTGAAGTGTGAGCGAATAGGAACGAGACCGAAAAATGTGTAACAAGACTTTTTTCCGACACTATAGCAAACGTACTATAGCACTCTACCAAAAAACGAAAGGAACTTCGTTCGATATTTTTTTGAAAGACATCGCCGCGCTCGGAATATATCGTGTGTCGCGGGGACGTTACAAACACACATGAAACGGACACAAAAATACCCAGACTTAGAACAACAATTTGTGGCTCACACAAAGTGATGTCATATGGGGATCGAACCCACAACGGAAGTGGTGAGGTGACTGCTTAAATCACTACGACATCTGTGCAGATATTTGTGTCTCTTGACTTGATGATGCTCATTCAGCAGTAATCACTTACATCACATGACCTGTCTGATCAGTGGCTTCTTTTTCAAATGTTTAAATAATAATACATACTTTACTGGTACATTAATTTATTTAATTTGTATCTGTTTATTTCTCTAATAAAATAATAAAAAATAAAGTACTTCTCCATGAGCTCTTTGTACAGCGGCATGTGCTTCTCTTCAGCCATGATAGCGTCATTGGGCTGTAGACCATACTTCTCCAACAGATCATGTCCCACGTTCGCCGAAATATCTAGCAGGGGGTTTCCAATACCCACCAGAAGACCTTCAGACAAACTAAAATAAATAAAAGAAATAAGAGTATTACATTTATTTCTTGTTAAAAAACAATACATTTTTTTGTCTATGGGTAACCCTACTTCTATCTAACTGAAAAACTTACTACATGTTAAAAAAATAAAGTCCCGTGCTACATCCATCAGTTTATTTGTCTATCGGAATTGGTATGATTCATAAGGAAAGTGTACATGTTTAATTCGTTAGGGTTTTGTATAGACTTTGTGAAATACAAAGAAAATCATTGAACATAACGAAAAAAGTGGTTTTTTTTTTCTTTTTTTTTTTAAAAGGCAACTCCCACATTAGAAATATATCCTTTGTCGCGGAGGACTTTACAAACATACATGAAACGGACACAAAGAACACCCAGACTCAGAACAACAATTTGTGGTTCACACAAAGTGTCGTCCCATCGTGGTAGTAAGCGCAGTCAATATGAAGAGAATATCTTACGGAACTATCTGTTTTAAACACATCTAATAATTACGCCAAGATTACAAGTCTAAAATACCAAAACGATCTACGTATTTAATGGAGTATGCCATGATAAACTATTATGGAAAAGAACCAACTTATAATTAATTGATTGATTTCTAAAATACAAGTACTAAAGCTAGTTTAGAGATCGGCGTTTAGAAACAGTAGTACATAATTTATATGAGCCTCATTTCTGTTTTATAATGTGTAAGTTTATTGAGTAATAAATACATTATTATTTAATTAATCAGCAGTTGACTTGCATCTAAGTCTAGAAGAAATATTACAGTAAAATTGAGATAAACTAAATTACTATAATATACTCGTATAACTTGAGGAATAATGTGACTTTTTAGTTTTTATAGATATTGCATATTTTAGTACCTAACATAATGAAAATGTCAAAGTGTTTAATTTTCACATCACATCACATCAACAGCCTTTAACAGTCCACTGCTGGACATAGGCCTCTCCTTAGAAAGGAGGTTTTGGCCTACTATACCACGCTGGCCAGACGGGTTGGTATAGGGTTTGTGTCAAGTTTTCCTTCTCTCTGCAGTGCTATTGTCCTGCGTATTTCGCTCCCTTAGTCGCCTCTTACGACACCCACGGGATAAATAGTTTAATTTTCATCGTATGTTAATTAAAAATGCTCTAATCCTTACAAAATCATTCCTATTTAATTGATTATTTTTGCACTAGAAAGTGAATTTACCCAGGAAAGTTATACAGCACATAACTTCAAACTATGGCCCTTAGGAGAAGAGCAGTAACCATACACGCAGTTGAAAGTGTAGTAATATAAACTATTATATATATATTACAGGTTTGGATTTAGTGTACGAATAGTGAAATAAATGACTAGTCTAACTACACAAGTTTTGTTTTCAGCACTCACATTGAAGAAGTTGTACATACAAAGTGCCCGGTGCATACTGCCCGGCATTTCATTGCAGTTTTGTCCAAACATCTGTATGAATTACAATTGATGACAAAATACTGGATAATGTTACTACACTTAGATAAAATATGAAAATAAAATATACCTCATAGATTAGACAGTAATGGCATGCCTTTTAGGGATCTGAGGTCTATGAGAAATACTCTGAGACTTGGCGAGGCTCATTTGAGCTCAGAGGTCTATAAGCAATACCAATGTTGCAAGTTTCAGACACAAGCATTTCAACAAAAATATTTAACCTCACAATATTTTTGTACTAAAATACTCTTTTTTTTTCCATGCCTACTAAGACTAAAGAAGTGGAGAAAAAGTTATTTATATATTTAAAACTTTACAAGAAAGGTTTTCTAAACTACTAACAAACTATTAAACTTGTAAAATATTTTATCCAAAGGAAATAAACAAATGTAATGCATATGTAATAAGCATGGGTACAAGTTGGTAGTCTCTTCTAAACCACTTTCCCCACTCATCTTTGACTTCATTGTGTCAAAGTTTTATACTGATGTGCTACAAAGTTTTGGAGAAGACTATGTATATTTTTATAAAACGTTTATATCTACATGAAAATATACACAAATAAAAGAAGTCTCGTTTAGCGGAAAATATTGCCTTAATAGTGCAATTATTAAAACTTTATTGTTAATACCACACGATCTAGGGCAGTAAATTTGCGATTGTAAAAAATACTAATAGCCGACCTTAAAATCAACCGCCTGAGTATGAAAACTATTTTTTTTTATGGTTGAATGCATGAATGTTCTGTCAAATTAACCAAATTAAAACAGCCACTTCAAAAGGAAGTTCTTATAATGAAAAAATTCTTACCTACATGGATCCATTATGTAATACTGTAATTACAGCAGCAAAAAAACTAATAAATACAGTAATGAATACGAGTTCAGTCGTAAATTGATTCTGAAAAGTTATTGGTGTACGGCACAATATTACCGCGTGTTTTTGTTGTTACGATAACCGTAAATCGTACTCGCGTTCACCATCTACCACTGGTAGTCAAGAAATGTCAAATCAAATATACAACTCAATCAAAGACGTCAACAATGTCAACCGTTCGGAAACCTGAACTAAATGATCGAATTATGAGCGTGTAAAAATAAAAATATTATGTTTGTTATTTATATTCAGAACAAAGGAGTGACATGTCCTTGCGAGCAAGTTAGCTCGTGAAGGAGACGGCGGAGCGGGATCGGGAGAGGTTTAGAACTCTCCCGGCCCGCCAGGCCCGGGAACGGGCCAGGTACCGCAGGCGACTCAGGCGCCGGAGGTCGCAGAACGACCTCCGTCCTCCATAAGCGCTGGCCTGGGGGTGACCGGTGAGGCCATCTGTCACCCTAGCAGAAGCAGGCCGGGTTGGCGGCGAGCGTTGCGAAGCGCGCTCGCTTCCAGGGAGCAGAGGGAACATGGGGTTCCCACACGGTGGGGGTCGTCTACTTGTTGTAGATGGCCCGAGGTATGTCGGGGTACCAGGGACTTCCTTTCTAGGGTATACCTGGTTCCCGGCTATTAGTACCAGAGACGGCGTGCGGTTTTAGTCGGTTCGAGTCCGACATGCCACCGATAGGTGGTATCCGAGGGGATTTCCGCACGGAAAAAAAAAAAGGGTTCGGTGCTATTTGAATCTGGCACGCCGTTATTGCGGCGGTAAGACCTGTTATTATTTTTATTTTAACCTTATGCACATGTTGTACAAAGGCGGACTTATGCCATTAGGTATTCTCTCACAGTCAACCTTCAGGTGTTGTAGAAATATGATGTGGTAGGTGCAAAATAAAATATTAAATTTAACATAACTGAAGTCGAGACATACACAATATATAAACATACATACATACATAAACCTACATAAATTTAATAAAATATAAAAAACTCAGTTGGGTTCTAGCGTTGTGACTGTTCTGCCAATTCACCCCGAAGAAGATCGCGCACTTTTTTCTTGAATACAAGGCGGTTTGTGAACATCCTGATTTCGGCAGGGAGGGCATTCCAGAGAAGAACTGACTGGACGTAGAAGGAGGAGTTGATGAAGTTGGAGGTGTAGGGGGGGGGGGCATAGAAGAAGCATATTGTAGGTTAATCGAAGATTTCGATCGTGATTGGAGCATAAGAAACGGAAGTGGGGTACGATTTATTCAGGTAACGACGGAGAGTTGAGGAAAGAAAATAAGAAGAAGTCAGTGCTCGTAAACTGCGGCGCTGACGAATTGGGAGCCATTACAGCTAGGAACGTAAAGTAGACACGTGGTCATACTTGCGAAGATTAAAAACTAATCGAATGCAGTTATTGAGAAGGCGATCTAGTTTATTGAGAAGGTCTGCGTTCGTCGTCGGTCTGCGTGTCGTTGAAATAACACACATCACCATAGTCGATTAAGGGAATAATTAAGGACTGCATAAGCGTAGCCTTAGTTTTAGCAGGAAGGAAGTTCTTCATACGATATAAAGCACGGTGGTATGTAATGACTTTCTGGCTGACGTGTGTAACCTGTGTTCTTTACCACTGCACTAAAAGGTAAAGTACTTATCATTTGTTTGCTCCCCACGACGATCACTTGACAGTTGGTTGGATTTACCGTCAAACCAAACCTCATTGACCAGCTCTTTATAAAGTCCAAGTCTTTGTTGACTTTGTCGATAGCGTATGTTATGTCCTGAACCCTTGTCTGTGTGTACACTTGTAAGTCATCGGCGTACAGGTGATACATACACTGAAGGTGCTGGGTTATGAGATTAATGAATATTGAGAATAATAAGGGAGATAATATACCGCCTTGAGGGACGCCAGTTAGAAGATCACACCAACTCGACGACAAGTCATCAATATGAACACTCTATTGTCGTCCCTGAAGTAAGGAGGAGAACCGTAGTAAAGTTGAACCGAGAATTTTCGGTTTTCTATCCCAATTAAAAGATCAAATGCTTGTTCACAACTAGCCGCGGACAGTCATTGATAGGGTATAAGCTTATAAATTTATTTGTAACATTTTTTAATCTTCATAATTACTTTAATCTAATATTGAACTATTTTTTTAACGTAATAATGAATTAAGCCACCAAGAGCCATGAATAGATTATGTTGCAGATGCTAGTAGGTTAATGCTGTAAATATTATTGATAGTCATATTTGTTAAATTAATAATTGGTATTAATTAAAATTACCAACTAAAAAACTTGTCATGCAGCAATTCTCATACCTCCTTTTTCCGATTTTTATCCGATTCTAATATTTAAATTAAAAGCTATTTTTAATTTAAAATACATTTTAATAGACCCAATTTCTCATCGCAGTCATGGCCATAGTAAAAATCAACTATCATCAAGTACTTATATAGTTATTAACCGCTATAACGAATGTACAAAAAAATGTACTCCCTGTATGATGGCCATGGGCCATGGGTCTCTTATTATTACACATTCTTATAACTGTCATATTTTCTTTATTTGAAAACCTATTCCAAAAAAGTTCTAACAAGACAACCGATCCAACAAAATAATAGTATGATTTTATTAGATTTTCGATGTCTTGTTGGAACTTTAGTTTGATAATTTCGTCATCGGCAATACCGTTAAAAGGACTATCGACCTACGACTCTATGGAGTGAATGAGTTGTTATCTCAACCAAAGAGTATGGTTACAATTTTGTTCATTGTGTATAGCATTCTCGCTCGCGCCGTTTAAAATTGGCACAAGAAGGAAAGAGAAAGAATATTATCTAGTTAAATTGTGTACAGGCTGGTAAGTTCTTCCATTATTGCAAAAAACCATAGAGAGTCCTTCTACCGCGTTAGTAGTATTTCATAACCTACAACCGGTGGAAGATCACGTTTCGCGATCCCGGGTAGAATTTTCGAGAAAGAAGGTTGGAATTTATTTTAAATTGTGAAATATTCCAATCTAAAATGTTGCGCCTACCACAAGTTGCTCGTCAAACAGCTTTACTACACAAAACTCAACAAATTTCAAGATTTTACGCCAAAGATGTGAGATTCGGTGCTGATGTAAGAGCCCTCATGCTGCAAGGCGTGGACGTGCTCGCAGATGCCGTCGCTGTCACAATGGGTCCAAAAGGCAGAAATGTCATTTTAGAACAATCATGGGGTTCGCCAAAGATTACAAAAGACGGTGTGACAGTTGCGAAAGGAGTCGAACTCAAAGACAAATTCCAGAACATTGGTGCCAAACTAGTACAAAATGTAGCTAACAACACAAATGAGGAGGCTGGAGACGGCACAACCACTGCCACAGTTCTCGCTCGGGCCATCGCGAAAGAGGGCTTCGAAAAAATTTCTAAGGGTGCTAACCCTATAGAAATCAGGAGAGGAGTCATGATCGCCGTAGACACTGTTAAGAACAAGCTGAAGAGCATGTCAAAACCGGTAACGACGCCAGAAGAAATCGCACAAGTGGCCACCATCTCCGCCAATGGTGATACAGCTATCGGAAAACTTATTGCTGATGCTATGAAGAAGGTTGGCAGAGACGGAGTTATCACTGTTAAAGATGGTAAAACACTCACCGATGAATTGGAAATCATTGAAGGTATGAAATTCGACAGAGGTTATATTTCACCCTATTTCATCAACTCTTCAAAGGGTGCAAAAGTGGAATTCCAAGATGCTTTAGTACTTTTCTCTGAAAAGAAAATAAGCAATGTTCAGACCATTATTCCTGCTTTGGAAATGGCTAACCAACAGAGAAAACCCTTAGTCATCATTGCTGAGGATGTTGATGGGGAAGCCTTGTCCACACTGGTTGTGAATAGGTTAAAGATTGGTCTCCAGGTTGCTGCAGTAAAAGCTCCAGGATTTGGTGACAACCGCAAGTCTACCCTCAGTGATATGGCTATTGCTACTGGTGGTGTGGTATTTGGAGATGATGCAAACCTTGTGAAATTGGAAGATATTCAAGTGTCAGACTTTGGTCAAGCTGGTGAAATTATCATCACAAAAGATGACACTCTTCTGCTTAAAGGAAAGGGCAAGAAGTCTGACATTGACAGGAGAGCTGAGCAAATCAGAGACCAGATTCAGGAAACTACATCTGAATATGAGAAGGAGAAACTCCAGGAGCGTTTAGCTCGTCTAGCTTCAGGAGTTGCTGTATTGCATGTCGGTGGCTCCAGTGAAGTTGAGGTAAATGAGAAGAAAGACAGAGTTAATGATGCTTTGAATGCAACCCGGGCTGCTGTCGAAGAAGGTATTGTTCCTGGAGGTGGATCCGCGCTCCTCAGATGTATCCCAGATCTGGATCAACTAAAGACAGCTAACTCTGACCAGTCTACAGGTGTTGAAATTGTCAAGAAAGCCCTCAGAATGCCATGCATGACAATTGCACGCAATGCAGGTATTGATGGGGCTGTTGTAGTTGCCAAGGTTGAAGATTTGGGCCCTGAGTTTGGATATGATGCTCTTAACAATGAATATGTGAACATGATCGAAAAGGGTATCATTGACCCCACAAAAGTTGTAAGAACAGCCCTTACAGATGCCAGCGGAGTGGCATCATTGCTCACTACTGCGGAGGCTGTAATCTGCGAAATTCCACAAGAAAAGGAACCTAACCCAATGGCGGGTATGGGAGGTGGAATGGGTGGTATGGGAGGTATGGGTGGCATGATGTAAACAACCCCATCACATCTCGATGCATTTAGTGTGTAAAAAGAACTGAAATAATTAGTTATATTGTTGTGGGTATTGCAATGGTTTAGTAGTTGACCGAGTTGGAATCTGTGAAATGAATGTGTAATTCCCATTATGTCTGACTGCATTATGAAATAGAAAGGCAAATGTTTGCCTTGTTAGAATAATTTGTTTTATTTGCTTCAATAGGTGAGCAATGTTATTTTGAAATAAAATATCGTTTATATTTTTGTTATTTTATTTTCTTAATTTTGTATATTACTACAATTGCCCTTTAGTAGGCGTGGCGTCCGAGAAAATTCTGGATTTAGTGAGAGCATGGCATTACGTAACTGGCTGTGACTGCCGGGTTATTAACATCTTAGTGACTACTGATATCTTATCATGGGTTCATTGTCCAATCACTTGTAGTTCGTTTGCGGCTTTATTACAACTTATAATAGAGTTTATGCATATCCTTTGCTTATTTTTGCTACGACTATGAGCAAGGGCTATTATTTAATGTCATAAAAACAAATCCATAAAAAGCGATAGATAATTCCATTGCTTCTCTTTTTTATATTCACAAGTAAATTTGGTCTATTTGTTTAGCTCTCTTGAGAATTAATAACGTCTGCTTTCAGATTTAATCATTAAAGCAGACCAAATAGGCAAACCGGTTTTAGCTAGGTACTTCATAATTTCTTAGTAGTAACTAGTAAATATCTTCTAGTATAGCAACTACCTAACCTATAAGAGGATTTTTACATTTAAAGCTTTGAAGATAAAACGTAGACTTGTTAGCCCCCGTAGGCTAGTAAGTTATACCAAAGACGTAGTAAGAACCATGGTTTTTAAAGCGTTCTGCTGATGTTTTTTACTTGCAACCAGTTGTTGAACTTTAGTCATTTAGCGATACACCCGTATCTAAATATGGACGTAACAGCTTTACAATTCAGTCGCTGACCATAGTGGTAGGTATCTCAGCGCAATGCAAGTGCATGTAGCAAGTAAACATTCTCAAAATTCGGACTGATGTCCTTCCAACTTTATATAAGTTAGATAATACTAGTAGGTACCTAACACAAGTTGTTTAAGTCTGGACATGTACTCACACTACACATAAAATATGTAAACAATCTTGAACAATTCAAATGTGAATGCAACAGCATCAACAACAAAACCTTAATAAAATACGATCGGCGCCTAGTCAGGGACTACTACCTGGGATAGCTACCAAGGGACTACTCTCTTAGCAGAGTCGCTAAAACCAACAAAGTCTAAGCTTAACTAAGTAGGTGATTCTTCGACACAACATAATTCGTCACTGATTGAGACGTCATCCTTGGGCAGGGAGGACACGAAAACGACAAGAGTGTACCTAGATACTTTTGTTTGCAAATCCAAGTATGCTCTTGTTATCTTCATCTATTGCATTTTTAATTATTAAACTAATATTTTACGATAGTCTAGATTAAAATTCGCATGGATGTACATAGCATTTATTAAATCTGTCATAAACAAATAAGTATAAAATAATTGTTAGTCTCATAATAAACGATTATATTTATAAAAATATTTGATCTTCATCTGAATCTCCAGCACCATACACGAAATGTCTTCGGGTTACATTCTCATTAACAATTGCACTTGGTTCAGTCTCTATATTGCTATTTTTACAAGGAGTAACTGGATATCTCACTGGGCCCAACCATCTTCTGCTAAGTCCAAAGTTACGCGGTAATGCAACATTTTTTAATGAACTACTTTTTGTAGACTTATCTAGGCTATTCAGTGACGATTGGATGGATTTCAAGGACGATTGTTTGAGCAAATCACTGGAATGGTCATTCAAGAAATCATCTGATAAATCAACATCAGCGGGGATACTGAGGCTCAATGGTCGCCGTTTTAGTCTCGCATTTGTAAATTGTCCACGCCACGTATTAAATTTCTGAGAGTCTCTTTTCTGTGGTGTATTCTCCTGAGATGAATAGTTACCTATATCAGATTCCTCATAAACTTTGTTTTCTGATAAACATTTTTGCAGATTACTTTTATTGGGTGTTGTTTGTCTACTACATTTGTCTTTCATTCTACTTATAACTTTGTCTTTCGTAAGCTTTATCAACGCATATATTGTTTTTAAAGCTTCTTCATTCAATAGTTCATCATCTGATATTTGTACATCTAAGGTACTGTTGCTTATATGTTTTGCAAGTAGTTGCTTACTTGCGTCAAGCGGATTCTCGGCATTTTGATGGTCTTTACTGCAAGCTTTATTTGCATTTTGGAGAACAATAAGTTCTACTCTCTGTGGAGCTGATTGCAACATGATTAGAGCTTTATCATATTTTACATTCAGTAAAGTTTTGCCATTGACTGATATAATTTGGTCCCCTGGTAACAGTTTCTTACATAAATCAGCAGAGCTTCCATTTGTAATAGACTTTATATACACATTTCCATCTGATCCCTCAGCTACTTGCAATCCTAGAGCGTTCATTTTGTCTCTCTCTAAAACTGCAGTTACAAATATCCTTTCGCCTTGCACACATTCCATATTTTCTAGTTTCTCAAATAGGGATGTATTCAGGCATGACTCGCTGTTTGCCACATTATAATTAAAGACATCTGGGTAAACTTTTGGAGATTCTATCACATAAGCAGTTGGTGAATTAGACATGGTTTGATTGTAATGTCTTTCTGGTAACAACTTCATACTATTTACATTGCAATGTTGCCTCTGTTCAGTACTCAGGTCATCAGAGTCACTCTGGGTCATGGTGAGGTCACCTTCAGACCTTAAACAGGGATTAGATACACTGACAGGGGATCTTTGGTACCTACTGTCTGCAGCACACTTGAGGCCATGGAAAACTCTTGTGCCCATTTTGACTCCTTGTCTTCTTGGTATGCTACAGCTTTCTGAAGATGATAATCCATCATTGGAGGAGTTCTCCTGCATATGAATGCTTGAAGCATTGAGGATACTTTCATCACTTTGCTGTGGTGATAATATTTGTCTCAAAAGTTCCTCTGTGTTGGGTTTCTCATTCTCTTTGTTCTGAACCTTTTTTTCCCCAAAAAGGTCAACTTTGAATCTTCGCCTTGTAGGTCTCCTTACTCTAACTGGGTTTCTTACTGCTAAATTATAGCTGTCTTGATAATTACTACCGTTCATGTTTCTGTTTTCTTGTGTAGCATACAAAGGGTTACTAATTTCACCAGATAAGTAATTCAGAAAGTCCTCTTTAGCATACAGTTTTAGGTACAACCTGTGATGTAGGGACGCTAACCAAAATGTAAAGTAGCTTTTGTTTTGTAACATTTTAAGTTTGTATTTAACACCAATTTTGGACAACCCTGAATATGAGTTAGGCATTATATATAAACTCTTCTTATTATAATAGAATGTATGTATGTGGTGCCAAGGTAAGCTTTGTAGAACTATTCTATTTATATTAGTTCCTGACTCATCTGCCAGGCTATTACGGGAATAGAGAGTAATGCCTCTGGGACCAATAGAGAGCCAGACGTCTCTACAAAATCCATCTCTAGTTGCCCAAATAGCTGAATAGAAGTGTGCACCATAATCTCTGAATGTCTGTGCTAATGTTATGTAATTGAGTACAGCCTTATTTCTATCTAAACCAGAGCGAGATTCATGTGCTCTTTTCATACGCAGCTTGATGTCTGCCATGTCATTTGTTATAACAGTTTCGGGTAAATAATGTTCAACTAAAAAGTAGTCTGCTGTTCCATGATCTCGAAACGAAAACTCACCAAATTCTATATGCAGTGCATACCCAGCTAACAAAATGAGGTTTTGTATTGTTGATGTTAATTGGCCTTCTAGTGTTGCTTTTCTTAGTTGCAAATATACTCTATGCCTCCATTCTCCACCCTGTATATTATTGGCAATGGTTTTAGGCAAAAAGAATTTTATTCTTAAAAATAAGGTTAATGTAATATCTTCAGAAGTTTTCTTTTTGCTATTCAATTTATGCCAGCTTTCTTTAGCCACCTTTTTTATTTTATAATCATCAGGTAAAAATACAAAATCTCCACTGATTAAAATTGCAATCCCCAGCATGAAGTTGTGTTCATAATTTTCACTGTGGACTAAAGCTTCAAATATTTGTCCTGCTGTTATTACATGTGGATCACAAACAATATCAATCTTTTGGCCATTTAACAGAACTATGGTAATTACTCTTTTATCACAAACTGCAGACAGAGTTAAGTCAATATGTTTGGCAGGTTGTGAAGCTCTTACTATAAATTCAGGCCCAATACAACCTTCTTTACCTTTAAAACCACAATCAGCTTTATACAGTCTTGAGGCTGCTCTCTGCACAGGTTTACCTCTTCTAAAATTAGTATTTGGATAATGTTGGGATTTGATTTTGTTATCATTAGGAGCTATTGTTGTCATTGAAACAGTATTGGTTTGAATTTGGGGCTCTTCAATTTGAGTGCTGCACGCTATGTCAATAGTTGAATGTGCATTACTGAGGCCTCCTCTTCTAGGTGTATCAAATAGATTAAAAATAGGTTTCCTATGGTTTCTTGGAATTCTACAGCTAGGGAATGGGTCTCGTTCATCAGGTGACTTGAGAAGGGCCACACAACTTCTTGGGCGAACACTAACTTTTAGATCAGTGTTGGTACCTGCTTCTTGAGTCTTGGTATGTCGCCTCTTTACATAATGTACATCATCATCTATATTTAAGTCCATGCATGGGCTAAGACCAATAGATGTTGCTGAACAGGAGCTTCTTCCAGAGTCTTCATCACAAACACGAGGCATTGTGCTGAAACCCAATGAAAATAAATATGTTAAATAAAATACCATTAAATAATACAGCACGGAATCTCAAAAAGTAGAACTACTACAAATATGCAGATTTGCAAGGTGGACGGTATAGTGACAGATTAAGAATGCAGAGTGTCACCACCCCTATTCATCCCGTGGGTGTCGTAAGAGCAGACTAAAGGAAAAAACTATGCAGAACAACAGCAATGCGATGAGAGAAGAAAAACTTGACACAAAACCTATTCCAACCCATCTGGCCAGCGTGGTATAGTTTGCCAAAACCTCCTTTCTAAGAAGAGGCTTATGTCCAGCAGTGGTCTGCTAAAGGCTGTTGATATGATGATGATGATGATGTAATGAATCTCAGAGAGTAGAAATACTACAAATATGGAGTTTTGCAAGGTAGATTCCTCATTGGGAGAAAACTAATAAATTTAAGAATATTTAGGATTACAATTGCATAAAAACAAATTTTGATTTACATAACATGCTTGTATAATTGTTGGGTAATAATAGTAGGAAGTGTTTAAACTATGTTCATCCTTCTCTATCTTATTTATGTATATGTTTACAAGATGAGAGAAGTTACTACTATGTAGCTTATTTATTGCAGCAATGTGGACATTGGACATATTGTCACATATAGGTACACCTTATTACAAAATATAGTGTCTTAATATTTACCAAATACAAATTGTCAAACAACATTTCAACAATAGTCTTAATACAGCTTAGCTTCAACAATAGTCTTAATTTTCATTGGTTTTTTAACATTTATCTTATAAACGGACACAAAATATTCAAATGCTGATGTGTAGTTCATGAATATAACGCGCCGTGAATATAATTAAGGTTACGGTAAAAGCATTCTAGACAATCAGTGTTTAGAATTTTCATTTAAATATTTTACTAAAAGCATGTACGACTATTGAATTTCATATTGCATTGTATGCAAGTTTACACAAAATTTACTTTAAAAACTACTAACGTTAACATAAAAACTATAATGTTACTTACTTTCACTTTTAATGTGTAAAACTCACAAAAAGTAACACACAAGAGGTACACATAACTTTTATTTTCTTCATCGAGTTAGGTCATTTAGCGAATTTCTCACAATTTAAAAGTTTTATCAACATTCCTCAGCATCGAGGTGTGTTTGTGAATGAAAATCATTTTACGTTACATTAATTTCTACGACATTAATATCTAATCTATTAATCTACGACAACATTGAGTAATATTATTGGTAGGAGAAATGGTTTAGAAGAAATTTTTGTTTTTTAATATATCAAACGTTTAAACGAAATATTAATTACTTCTATCCTATTGTTTAGCTGATATTTTGATTCATTTAAATATTTGGTAGATGAATGGACAATGCGAATGAGAAATGGAACGCACACCAAGCTGTCAAAATAACACAAACATTGCGTTTTATTATTTGACATGTGAGGCTGAGAGCTAGCTTTCTTACAGCGTTCTCTTTCACATGTAGTAATTTTAAGGTAAACCCATCCCTTTCTAATGCTCTGTTATTGATAACAGATTCTGTAAATTGCTGAACAACTTTCACTGTCCCTTCCCGTCATGATTATTATTCTATGTGTTTTATTTTAAAAATAATTTATTGATTACTAACCACCTTGGGTCAGATAATTTTTGTGTGCAGAAATGGCTACATTAATCCAGTCATATGAACAGCAATATTCAGTTCTCACGGCAGACATTACATCTAAAATCGGACGTTTAAAAGCAGGCACGGAAGGTATGTCCTTATTTGTAGTCAAATTAATCTTGCCGGTTATATTTTCATTTTAAACTTCTTTTCTAAAGAGAGGCCTATGTCCAGCAATGGAATATTAAAGGCTGTTGATGATGATGATATTTTCATTTGACCGTTTACTAAATACTTAGGGGTGGAGGTAAATGTAAAGCTATATATTGTCTTTTAATTCATTTGATTAGTTTAGTGATTAAAATCAATAGTCTATTGGTTGACTTTATTTACTACATTGTGGAACTTTATATTTATTATTACAATAACATTAATTTACTAAAAACATAGTCTAAGGAAAATAACTTTTCTAAAACAGTTTTCAACTGTATAATAATAGTGATTTGTTATAATACATAAATGTCTATTTATTAGAGAACCGTGACCAGTTATCAAGAGAAATACATGCCAATTTTGAGGAGGCTAATGATTTGGTAAGTTTGTATTTTATTAAGTTAAATACATAAAAATTATCTATACTGTGTAGTGGTGTGAGACAATTGCCTAATTATTTAAATAATAGTATCACTAAACAAATAGTAAGCATTAGGATTGACATTCAAAATTTCATGAGGCCTATGATTTTTTTCAGATAAAAATAGTTTGTGTTTGATTTGGTTTTACACTAAACACATTCTAGTCAAGCTTTTAGTTACATTTTGTTTTAAGAGGTGGTTGCAAATGCTTATTTTTATTTTATTTAAATAGTTTGAATTATAAAAATTATAGTAACTAATAAATCTAATGAAAAATTGGTATACATATATATTTTCTTGTCTACTACTCAGCTCTGAACCAGTGCTTATCCAAACCTAACCTAACTCTTCCGGTTTGTGAAAACAGGCCTAATAAACACTGTTAATGTTTTTGGTGATTAGGCGATTATCACTATCTATTAAGAGATAATTAGTGTTTGTTAAAATACTGATTGAATTTTTACAGTTGGAGCAACTTGAGTTGGAATCTCGTGGAGCAGGTGCTGGGTCACGTGTTGCAGCGTACCGAGCTGAACTACAGCGCGTCCGTAACGAGTATCGCTCAGTCTCTACTAATTCAGCTTCATGTGAGTTGGCATTACTTAATAATTATCACGAATATGTAAGACTAGCTTTTGTCCGTGGCTCCGCCCGGTATGACGGTTATCCCGGTAAACATTTGCGTATTTGCCCAAGAATCAAAATATCACCATGACAAATTTAAATAAAATCGGTTCAGCGATTTGTGTAACAGACAGACAGACAGTGTTACTTTCGCATTTATAATATTAATAGAGATTACGAAAAAAAGTGAGCAATTTAGTAATAAAATGATTTTTGAGAAATAATTATCTGCATTATTTCCGGAACAATAATAAATCCTTCAAACGTTTAAGGAAATAGCATACTTTTATCTCAAAGACTAGCATTGCACTTGTGTTTCTGTAGTCAATTACTATCAGGTGGTCTGACTGCTTGTTAAATAGTTGCGTTTAAGCCCACATTATAAACTGTAGTTACATCACATATAATAATTTGTTATGTTGTTTACGTTGCCACAATTGAAAATGCTGTTTCACTAGCCATATTTTTTTTTATTACAGATAACATAGACACAGACGAAGTGTACGATGATTGGGGAGGCAATGAACAGCAACGTAAGTTACTCGACAACACGGAGCGACTCGAGAGGACAGGCAAGAACCTTACGGAAGGGTATAGGGTCATACTTGAGACTGAACAGATTGGTGCGGCTGTATTGCAAGACCTGAGTGTTCATAGAGAAAGTATACAGCGGTCTAGAGGGAGGGTGAGTTGCTTTTTAACTGTGCAGATAAGCTCATAGAACTTTGAATTATGGTGTCGCGCAAGGAATGTTCTTGGGCCACGTCTACTTTTACTTTTACTTTTGTTGCGTTTTATACAGTTTTTGACTTGCCATGCAAGACTATCAATAAATTGAAACTCAAATACATAGCTTAAATAATAATAACCTTTGACATATCACACACGGCAGTCTGATCCCAAAAAAATACATATATATAATATATAAATTACACCCAGACAGGGAACAAATAATCACACTCATCATACAATTATTTGTTCTTGGTGGAATCGAACCCACAACCTTTGGCTTAGCAGTAAAGATCACTAACCACGAGTCTAACGCGCCCGTCAATATGTCCACTAAAATTGGTCTTTGTCCACTAGGATCCCCTGCTCAAATCACCTGGGCAATTTATTTGGATTTTTATCCACAGCGATCCCCTAGGGGATCTATTTGGAATTTTTATCCATTTTGATCCCCAAGGGGATTAATTTGGATGTTTTTTTAAGCACAAATCCCCTAAATATTCATAATTTCAATTCGATTTAAATAAATGTCGTAACGAAGTTTTCAAGGAATTTCAAGTTGAATATTTATTATATGGATAATTTATTATTAGGAAGTATCGCTCCTGCGGATTCGCTCGTGTAAATTTTCGTTTCCCGTTGTCCAGATGATTAAGTACGAAGGAACATCAAAACATTGAATTTTTATTTCTAACATTTTATGATATAATTATTTTCAAAGTAAATATGCTGCGTATTGATTATTCCATAAAATGAAATGATTTTTTTAAATGTAAAAAGTAATTTTATAAAACTGTTTTCTAAAAATAAATGTGCAACTGTGATGCGTGGACACAAAATTGACCAGGAAAAAAATTATACTACGGAGAATAAATGTTGTGTCCATAAATCCACCAGATGATCACACTAAATAATGTGATGGCTGCAGACAAAAAATCCAAATGAATCCCTCAGGGGATTTAAGCAGGGTATCCTAGTGGATTTTGTGCTTACAAAAACTTTCAAATAAATGCCCTTGGTATCAAAATGGATAAAAATTCCAAACGCCGATGGATAAAAAATCTCCCTAGGGGATATCCCCTAGGGAGATTTTTTATCTATCGGCGTGGACAAAAAATCCAAATAAATCCCCAGGGGATTAAAGCATTCGATTAAATCTTAGTGGACGGAGCCTAAAATTGATAGATATTATGAGTCTTTTTAGGCTTTTTAACAAGCCTAAAAATACTTACTTACTTGCAATGGTTTCCAATAATATATGTTATCAATAACTTTTATTTCAGCTCCGTGAGACAGACGAGCAGTTGAACCGTTCCACGCGTCTGATGAACACAATGGTAATGCGAGCACTCCAGGACCGCTTCGTGCTGATTATGGTATTCCTCACGCTGGGAGCCATGCTACTGGTAGGAGTATATTTCTCCTTGTCGTAGCACGTGAAGTCAAGATTGCAATATAAAACATGATGCTGTGAATAGTGAATATAGGTCACCGTTTCTCAAGCTGTGACCCTTCGCTTGTTCGTCGTGAAGGCAACTTTGTAAATACAAATCAGTCACCAGTATGTGGGATTCTGTATAAATAACACTGGTGTAAATAATTTACTTTAGCACGAGGTAGAGCAGTTTACCATGCATACCAAATTAAAGCTTAAAATAGGAGTTAAGCGGGCAAGGATTTTCTTGACTAGTTGAAGAAAATCCTTGCCCGCTTAATTGATTAACTGCTTAAGTGATTCCAGCCTTTATAGATATTGATTACCCTCCACCATTACACAATACAAAGACTGTACACTTTTATTGTTTGAAAATGATCCGACAGGCTGTGACGCTGTCATAAATTAATTAAAACATTTTGAGATTTTAAGAATAAATTGTTCTGAATGCCTTGTATCAAATAATGTGTTGTGGTCATAAAATTTGAGAGAATACTTATTATGTGTCGACAGAAAAAGCTGAAGAGGTTATGGAAGGGGGTCATTATCGAAAGATTGAGAAACTAAGTTTAGGCTGACTATACGATTAAGATAAATCGATATTGTCTTATTTTCCAACTACAAAAAAATATCTGCGTGTAGGTAAAATAAACTTTTAGGTAAGGTTATTAAAGATATTATAACTTAACAAAATATAAAAACAGTAATAACATAAAAGTATGCTGTTTGTTGTGCACAATTCACAACTTATTCGAGCTTGGAGCAAGAAGAAAAGTGAAAAAGACATGCCTTTGGTCCCGCTTACTCTCTTTAATATATTTATTATAGTTTTAATGTAAAGTTATTGTTAACTAATATTTAACTAATTTGTCTATGACCTGCTTTCGTATAAATAATATAAGCCATTGTGATTATTTTAAGCATTCCTCTAATCAAACCATTTGGTTGTACTATGTACATAATGTATTCTTTAATCAAATATATATTAATGTTTAGTATCTTAGAAAGCATTAAACAATCTATCACTGTTACAAACTATTCTCAATCTACCCACAACTTTGTGTAATTATAAAGAGAGTTATGAGAGTATTTTACACAATTCTTGATGCCTGTTTCACTACTAGGTTATACATAGTATATTAAACTACAAATAAATATTAAAGTACAAAAAAACTAAACCACAAAATTGAAAATGACCATAAAATTAGTTTATTTTGCATATTGTTGCTGATTTTCAGAAAGAACAGTGGTGGTCATATCCGACCATGCAACATCGACAATGATCTTAATGCAAGGAAACTGGTGACCTGCAGTTTCTCGGGAAGCTTCGAGAGAGGCGCTTTGTTTCATACCCGATCGAAGGCCATCGGCCGGTTTGTGAATTGATTATTTTTTGCTGAACATAGTTCATATGGTTTCACATTCTGTTGCAGTCATGGTCCAAAAATTTCAACCGGAGCTATGCGTTTGCTTTTTTTATATGGTTATCAAATTTATGAGGTGGAAGTATTGGTATATGCTTAAAGAATAAGATTGATTGAGACCTTAATGATTTAACATTTTGATGTAGGTAGATAATTATTCTAAAGATTGACGGTAAAGTTAAAAATTTCTACATATAGGTACACTTTGCACTTTCTTTACATTGTATTTTCTTTCAAAATGCCGTTAGAAAGCATTAAGTATGATATTACCTACTTAATTATTTACAGCCAACTGGCAATTTATAATTATTATTTGTGTACGGTTTTACTATTTCGGGATTGCCTGACTAATTTTGAACCAGACGGGCGGCGCTTTTCAAGCAGTGATATGCCTGGTCGTGACGACATTAGGCAACATTCTGAAATACCTGAACAAAAGCCATATATCTTTAATTATTTGAATATAATTTATAAAAGTTTTTGTCCTATCACACGCATATTATTAAGACTGATATTTTTTTATTTAATTGTGGTGGAACAGGTACTCATTGTCTATGGTAATCGCTTATAAAGTCATAACACAAATGTGTCATCACATAGGAGACTGTTGTTAATAACGTATATGGATAAAATTATTTATTGTAATATAAGTGTATGAAACCAAATAAAGTGTATGTTACGTTTTGAATAATAGTTTTATTTAAAATATTTGTCACTTTCTGGGTATAAAAATTTATAGAATTAATGTAGGAAGTGTAAATATATAGTGAATCTCGTGGTCATAACTGAAAAATCTACAAAAATATCATTAATAAAAAGCCGTGTGGTGTCGTGGGACACCCGATAGGAACGAAGTTGTGACGATCGAGTATAACTGATTTGACACGATTTTAATTACAACGCCATCTATGAAAGCGGCTATTACCTACATATTAAAAACAATTAAAACAATTTATACAATGGTAAAATCTCCTTGCGAAATGATTTCCTATCTATTCGATAGATGGCGCTGAATGTCTGACAAGATGACACGAAAATAAAGAGCAAAAAGCCAACATCACGTGGTATTCCCAGGCGGTCACCCATCCAAGTACTAACCACGCCCGATGTTGCTTAACTTCGGTGATCGGACGAGAACCGGTGTATTCAACATGGTATGGACGTTGGCGAACGTTAAAGCAAATTTAATGTATGGTATCCACAGTTAGACGTCAATTTATATTAAAAGTGTCGTGACAAATTTTCGTACGAATTTTTTCCGTCTAGCCCCCTTTCACAACGCGCGATATGGAACTTTGTTCCAATATATAACTAGTCACATCTCACACACTAAATTACACCCAGACAAAACAAATGATCATGTTCATCACAGTTATTTGTAATTAGTGGGAATCGAACCCACGATCTAGGTAACCATGACCCAAAGGTCTTAGTGACATAACTATTAGACCCAAAGGTCCATTAATGTATTGGGTGTGAAAAGATCACCTCATCATCATCATTTCGGTCATAAGACGTCCACTGTTGGACATCATCATTATCAGTCTATCGTAGTCCACTGCTGGACATAGGCCTCTCCCATTGCACGCCACTCAGATCGATTTTGGACAAACGCTTCCTCAATGACCTCCAAGAAGACAGTAGACAGCTGCCTGCTTTCACCGCCGACCTGCGATACTTATAAGACCACAAGCCTACTATAAGATGTAAAACAAGTTTCTGAAATTGACTTAAAAGCAATATTAAATAAAGAAAAATTGTTGTATTTTTTACGTTTATTATTGTTACTTTATATTTCGTTTGTTAAAATAATTCTAAAAAAGTAGAGTATTGAAAAAAAACTCAAAAAATAAATACTAAACAAAATAAGCAATAACAGTTTATTCATACATTTTTACATTCGCATCATTTATTACAATAGTCACAATATATTAATCTGTAGTCTATGCTCCTAGCATGGGGTTTAAGCACAAGACAAGATAGACATAGTAAATATAAGACAACCAGTTTATCGCAGTCAAATGACAATGTTGCCATACTGCTAAATCAAGATTGCTATAAAAAAAAATAGATTCTAAACCAAACCTTGTCAATGTTTTAGAATAGTTTGAAAATGGAAATGATGAATATGGTATGGTATAGGAACGCAGGAGTAATAATAAGGTTTAAGATTTTATATATATTTTTATTTTTGATATAGGTTTGTAGCTGAGTATGGTAGTAGATTCAGAGGAAAAGATAATCATAGTTTTTCAGTTCCCTAGATCCTTTTATGTATGTTCAATTATCATTGTAATTCCATAAATTTCTATGACACAATACATTATTTCAGAGCAGATGTCGACTTGGCGTTTTTTCTCAAATATATAGTCCTGGCGACAAGTCTTGTACTAAAATCCCATGCTAGAGGCCAATATCTATAATCTATACTAGCTCATTTAACTGATCCTGTGGTGCCCTCGTGACATGTTGAGGCATGTTGGAAGGCGGGAACATGTTTACTGGAGGAGCCATGTTGATCGGTGGGGCTCCAGTGTCCGGTGGAAGCATGTTGATTGGTGGAGCCGTAGGGGCGGATGGAAATAGGGAGACTGGGGGGGTGATGGTCTCCGAAGGAGGCTCCGAGGGTTCATCTTCAACAGGTTGCCCAAGAGAAGTCAACCGCATTTTATATTCGTTTAGTTTCATATCCTGTAAAAGGTAAATAGTGTAAAAAATAACAATGAGATGATTTAGGAATAAACAGCCATGTTAAGATTCGCATATTCGATTCCTGCTACAAATTTTTATATTCCTGAATATCTATCTAATCTATACAAATAAATAAAATTGGAGTGTCTGTTTGTAATATTAAAATAACCGCTTTTTACTAAATGCGTATGTATGTTTACACGGTACGTATGCCAAAATAACATTTTTTTCAATTTTTGTCTGTCTGTCTGTCTGTTTGTTCCGGGTATTCTCTGGAACGGCTGCACCGATTTCGACGGGACTTTCACTGGCAGATAGCTGATGACATAAGGAGTAACTTAGGCTACTTTTTTTAGACTAGCTTCGCCCCGTGGCGTTGCCCGCGGTTATAACAACAAACGCGGGTAACATCGCGGGTCTCGGCTAGTATTTAATAAATACACCCACACAAACATGGAATAAACGACCATGGTCATTACACAATGATTTGTTCTGGGTTGGTCCGACCAAGGGAATCGAACCCGAGACCTCAGCAGTCGCATACGCTACCTCTGTACCACCGAGGCAGTCAAACATTACTTGGATATATACATAACATTGTTTGGATGTAAATAGCTATTTCTTTGGACCTATTTAGTTTCACACACACACGGACATAAAAAAAAATTACCTGATCAGCAAGTAACTCTAATAGATCATCCTGGTCCTTCTTAACCTTCTCCAACTCCTCAGCAGCTGTCTTTTGCCCTTCTTGGCTGACCCTCAATTGTTCCTTCAAACTTGTTACTTCAGCTAATAACCCTTGGATTTTACCCTCATATTCCTTCACCCTAGGATCTTCTTGACTAGTCAGGCTTGGAGCGGGGGGTCCAGGTAAGGTCTTTGAGGCGGATACTTGCGCTTTCAATAATGTATTCTCATCTTTTAAGTGGGAATTTGATGCGATGGAATCGTTAAGTGCACCCTGAAATTCATTAAAATTGTTATTTTTCAACAGAATTCGTTAAAATTTAGGTTTTAATTAACTTGATTTTTTTTAGTTCACGATTTATTCACATCCACAGCCTTTTATAGTAATCTGCTGGACACAAGCCTCTCCTTGAAAAGGAGGTTTTGGCCTACTATACAACGCTGGCCAGACGGGTTGGTATAGTGTTTGTGTCAAGTTTTCTTTCTCTCTGCAGTGCTGTTGTTCTGCGTAGTATTTTTTTTCATATTTTTTTTCCAATTCATACATTCTTTCGTTTGGTACCAGTACCAGTACCAGAAGGTTTGGAGGTCGTATTGGTCCGGAAACACCACAGGCGACAAGTTAACTAAACGTTTCTTCAAACTCTTCCAAGTAAAATTCTATTCCTAAAATAAAATTTAATATAGGGGTAAAATACCTGCAAACTCTGGTTCTGTTGCAGCAACCCTTCAACCTGCGACATGAGTTCTTGCAGCCTGGCGTCTTGCTGACGTATGAGCGACTTGTACTGTTCAAGGTTACCGCTTTCGGGAGAAGTGCGCCCTGCAGCTGGCTCTCCGGTGCCGTTCTCGTGTGTTGTCGTTAAACTTTGGATAAGAACACCTGGTGAATGAAATATTATTTTTTACTAGCTGGTACCAGTGACTTCGTTCGCGTAAAATTTGTAAAGCACTGACTTAGTGGGTTCGATTCCCGGGCAGTGCATTTTGAAGGGGTTTCTAAGAGGAGTTACTCCTTGTATCCTGATAGTAAAATATTATCAAAATCAGTCTAGCCGTTTAGAAGATTACCCGGAACAAACAGACAGACACACTAGGCGACAATACCTATTATCGTGCAAATAACCGTGTGAGCACGAAAAAACCTATTATTTTGATATTACAAACAGACACCCATTTTATTTATTTGTATAGATATAGCTACTTTTTTTTTGTGAGTGATTTTGTGAAAAGGGACGGAAGTCTGTAACAGTAATTACCGCAAAGAAGGAAGGATTAACCGACAATCGCTTTTTTTGTAAGTTTAAAAAAAACTGTAAAACACGCTTGTTTGTATTTTTGCCCAATGATTTGTTTTACACCGCCCGGCCCGTGTGGTGACGTATTAAGAATACGGAGTGTCACCACCCCTATTCATCCCGTGGGTGTCGTAAGAGCCGACTAAGGGAGAAAACTACGCAGGACAACAGTACTGCAAAGAGAAGGAAAACTTGACCGAAACCCTATACCAACCCGTCTGGCCAGCGTGGTATAGTAGGCCAAAACCTCCTTTCCAAGGAGAGGCCTATGTCCAGCAGTGGACTAGCAAAGGCTGTTGATGATTTGTTTTACTTTATGAATCTAACTGCTACTATATTGAAGGTCTAAATGTAAAAAAAGGTATCTTTGATAAAAAAAATATTGATTTTAATAGCATTTACCTTTGTCTATGACGAAATTACAATCACATGTTAAATCGCTGTGACTAAAAGCAATTATATCATCAAATGAATATGATTTAAAATTAAAAATAATATAATAATATATCTCACACATCTTACACACAGCCGTCTGATCCCAAATTAGGCAGAGCCTGTACTATGGTAACCAGACTGCTGATAAACATACATATATATTTTTTAAATAGATACATAATATAGATAAATTACACCCAGACATAGAACAAATTACCGTGCTCATCACACGATATTTGTCCTGGGAATCGAACCCACGACCTCCGCTTTAGCAGTCAGGGTCACTAACCACTAGACCAACAGGCCTGTCAATAATTACAAAGTAGCGACACACCTGTAACTCTTGAGATGCCTATGGGCGGTGGTAGTCGCCATCAGATATCCCGCCTGCTCGTGTGGCCCCTATGCTATAAAAAAACCAGGGTAAGAAAAAATTCTAACTTTCTAAGACTTTGAAGAGTCGACAAAACTCATAATCAATAAGTACGTCGGCGGCGATCTTGGCTCGCAGCTGCGGGTGTTTGGAGGCCTTGTTGTACAGCTCGTGCTTCGACACCTCGCTCACCTTCGACGTGAACATCTCCATGCCGATGCGCTTTGTTAGAAGCTGCCGGAGGGAATCCTGTAATCAATATAATTAATTTATTTATTTATTACATACTGAGATGGAGGAACGTAAACGGAACGAAAAAATGGAGGATTTACAGCAATGATGATCACAATAAAAGCAGTCAAGAAAACAGATCGCCAATTACAAATCCTCAATTATATAAATCAGAGATAAGTTACAGTGCACAAGACAATACAGAATATTATCAAGAGGTATTATGTAATTATTAATTAAATAATTTCATTTCCTTTTAAACTTTTGGTTTGGTGACTTCCAAAAACAATGACAAACATACTTATATACCATGGACACACCGAACAATGGAGCAAGTCCTAATCCTACATTGCGCTTTGAAAGTTCTCATGCCGGTTAGGATATTATATTTGCAACTTTCCAATATTAGCTGTTGGACTGCGGTCTACCAGGCATGATCCCCTGCCCGGTCAGAGGATCCTCTCTTTATTCTACACAGGATTTATCAAAATCCGCCTGCCTGTATACAATTTTAGTGTACTTTTGCAAAATCTATTGGCTTGTTTCTTTAATTGCCACTTTGGGACTGTGATCGTTTTCAGACGGAACAAAAGAAGAAGACAAATTTAGATAAAAACCGGTTGAGGGGAAGTGGTACCACTAGTCTCGCATGGGGAAACAGGACTAAGACAGTAAGACTTCCTCATATGTTCATCCTGCAGTTACATCAACTGGCCATATAATTACACAATATAACTAATATTAATTATAACTACATTTTTGACGAAAGATCAGCTAAGTGGAGACTTTGAAAGAATAGGGATATTTTAGTGTAGTGACGTGTTCTTCTGGGCATAGAAATTAACGCAAACAGAACATGACAAGTGTTAATAAATAACTTGAATGTTTCGTTATAGCCTATATATAGTTTATTTAAATATTTATTATATTTAATTTTGGACGTACAACAAGCTTTGTTAATACACGGTGATTTTGAAAGCGTTTTGGAAACGAAATATTTGAATTTGGAATCATCTATAGTACCAATAAAAATGATTAAATCAATTGTAATGTTGTCTAAAAAAAAGTTTCAGTTTTAATATTCATTTTTACTCGATCGACTTGGAAAGTAGTAATGGACTGATCGTTCATTCATTATCTTATATGAATGAAACACGTCCGTGGGCGTTTCGGCGGCCGCTGCGCACCGCCGACGCTAACAGCAGCTGACAAAACTATACCTATAGGCGCGAGCTAGCGAGTACTTACGTAGATAGACTCCAATTTGTCCTTCATACTTTACACGGGCTTAGGACCGTCAGAAATACCTATTTTATTTAAACTTCTTTTCGATTATTAACCACGATTGTTCTTTTCACAACAAATCAATTTATCAACGGACTGTAGGTATAAATATTTCAGGCGTATTTAAAAAATCGGAGCTATCTACAGAATAATTAACTTACATACCTATTTACACTATTTACAGTTCTCTGTATCGAAGGAACTGCTCAAAATGGAGTCCGCTGCATTCAATACACAAACGTCCACGATTAATGCAATTGTTTTTTAATTTTCTTAATGTGTCTCTATCACTTTTCACTTTAAAGCGTCCACTATCGCAATGCGTAAATTATCACGGCTTTCATATTCCCGTGTATTAACAAGTCTTTTTATTTCCGACCATAAGAAAAAATCCAGGGGCGTTAAGTCCGATCACTAAGCTCATTGTCCAGGTATGCACGCACTACACTCCGGCGAATAATAATTAAAACGTCCTTGACCTTGCGTATGAGTAGGCGCACGAAATTGTCCGTGGTCGAGAAGACGTTGGGTTGCAGCCAAGATAGTAGGTGTGGAGGGAATTTGAGGGCTTTCAATTCCACGTAGCCGTAGTGCATTTAAATGCTCCGGCTTGGGAATACAAACGCCGAGCCTCTTCCAAGTTGTAGTTGGCAGTAGCGTACAGCTGTACCATTGCCAAGAAGTATTCCACGTTTGAAAATTCGTACTGTCGACTCATTTTAGCGCTAATCAATGCAGCGTGCCGTCACGATGTTATGGTATTACTGACCGACTGACGATGACAGGTGAGCCCCGCGCATGCGCCTACGGGGCAGACGTCATTGGTTGGACGACTCCGGCGCAACTCGGTAGCTTTGTTTTTATTGGCGAATACGATTTGATGTGACACGCATAGTATTTCTATTCGTAGTATTTACCTACGTGTGATTGAATAGCCTACTACTACTGGTTCTGACTTTTTCTCTGTAAACGATATGAATATCGACTTTGATGATAAAAAAAAATATATTTTATTAAATTAACGTTATATATAGCTTCTGTTACTGATAAATAACTCAAAATTTTCTTTTCCAAAACGCTTTCAAAATCACCGTGTATATTAACATTGCTACACTAACCAATAGTATACTATATTTACTTTTACTCGCATAATACTCGTAAACCAATTGCATTCCATTCTAATTTTATGTCTTCTCTGCAATTTATTGCGATGTTAAAGTTTGTGGACATATGTTTTGCAATATAAAACATAAATCCATAAATATCTTTCCGATTGGGTGGAAGGCGCTGACGACTGTAACACAATTTATATAAGTACGGTAGTCAACGTCATCCATAATACAAGTTTACAATATTGGTTATATTTTTCTTACTAATCTGTACTACATTTTGCATGCACGTGTATTGTAATGCAACATTTTAAATATGGTAATAAAGAATAAATAATAAAGAAATAAAATATGCAAATTCACAGAAATTATATTTGTAAAAGAAAATTATTTCTTAATAATTAGCTATGTAACACGGAATAATAATGTCAATCATGCGAAAACGTAATTGAAGACAGACTGTGAGTTCAAATCAATACTTGAAACTAGTTTCAACTGAGTATAACTTAAAATGCGTTCTATAATAAGATCGATACTTAAGTTTTGATCTGCACTTAAAACTAATTTCAGGCAATCAGAGTTTGGTTGAACACATTTGAGGTCTTTTAAAATATGGGCCTTAAAATTACAACCACCGTTAAAATATGCTTTTTAATGACAACTGTCTTAGAATTCTTGTAATGAGACCTGGTTTGCTGCTCAAGCAAAAGAGAGAAAAAGAAGAGGGCTTCTTAAATATATTACGTTAAACTGTCATGTGGGGGAACGTGCCGTTGCTTTCAGTCCACTCTTTAAATCGTCTGGTATCTGGGAAACTTTTAGTAGTGGTACCTCGTCTACATATCAACTGGGCCGCATTCTTCTCCGTAACATTGGCGTGTATGAATAAGGTAAGAAGATCTGACGTACCTTGGAGTACTGTTCGACGGAGTCGTCGTTGAAGTGTATGCAGATGGCGAGCAGGAAAGCACTGAGCCCCTGCAGCAGATACTCGTTGTCGTCGTGCTCGTTGGCGCAGGTCTGCGCCACGAGCCAGGCCACGCCGCCCGGCGCGCGCAGGAACGCGCTCACGGCCGCCGCGCAGTGCGACGTCCACTGGCACAGCAGCATCAGCAGGCCCACCTGCGATACACGTCGCTTTATTATTGTCTACACTTCACGTTATATTTTGCTGAAGACATTATTTCATCAATCAGCATACTCTGTTGTTGTTCTGTCCTTTAAGAAAATTCAAACATTACACTGGTGTACAAAAGTAGTAGTTAAAATGACAAATTTATTTATTGAGACTTCCTGCAAACATATTGCATAAGGCGGACTTAATGTCTTAGGCATTTTCTTCCAGTGAAACCTTTGAGTGTTGCAAAGCTGTGTGTGGCAGGTGTATTTTTTAAATTTTCGCATATTTCTTGTAGGTACACCTTGTCTAAGCTCTTTAAAGAGTGGAACACAAAATTATTTATCCGGGCTTAAACGATGTTACAATAAAACTTCCTCGCTGGTACATTGTATTTTGCGAATATAATGTTTGGATAATCGTAAACGAATATACCGATTTTTACAAGACTTTTAACAAAGTCGATCACGCACGCTGTTGAAAAATTTGTGTTTTAATAGGATTTATGGATTTCTTTACATTGCTCGCATCTTACATTCACAAAATAACATAGAAAAATATTAATAATATGTAATAATGTTTTGCATCCAATGAATTTAAATTCGGTGTCCTTCAGGGTTCTATTTTAATAATAATAATATATTTTACTACATTCACACAACGCCATCTAGTCCCAAACTAAGCAGAGCTTGTACTATGGGTACTAGACAACTGATATAAATACATATATGGTTTTTTTTTTGTAAATACATACATATTATACATAGAAACACCCAGACCAAATCAAACATTAAAATGTTCATGCACACAAATGTTTGACTTGAGCGGGAATCGAACCCGCGACCTTTGGAATAGCAGTCCGTTACACAAACCGCTATGCCATCCGGTCGTCAAATATTTATTATTTATCATATTTTGGGCACATTGTTATTCGTTCTGTATAGTGATGACATTAGACACTGATTTTAAACGATGTAAATTAAACTTTCCTATATACAAGACCGAAACCATCAAAAATAGTAACACATATCATTAATTACACCAACTCACTTTTTGACTATTATTTATTTATTTATTTAACTTAATGCACTAGTTGTACAAAGGCGGACTTAATGTCCAAGGCATTCTCTGCCTGGTGATGTAGAAAAATGAAGCTGTAGGTGCAAGAGAAAACAGAGAATTTTACTTGTTTATATTAAACTTATTAATGTAGGATAAATCTAACTTACATATTTACACTACTACTATAAATACTATAAATAAAATACTATATGGGCACAGTATACGTAATTAACGATTTAGGAATCTAAATCTAAAATTGGAATATACAGGAGTTAAAGAGGTCAAGTTTTGACCAGCTTGCACTGACTGTGGACACAGGCTGCCAACCTGATTAGTACCAGTCACAAGGTCAGGCAATTGAAAGGTATGTAATAGCATTCATAGAAAAGTTTTATCATTACAGAAACAGGACTTATAAAAAAATACAGCAAACCTTAGCTTTTAACTTCGTAGTTTGTTGCAACAGCAACGTACACTGATGCAGCAGGGACACCGGTGAGCTGCCAATATTTGTGGCCAACAACACTCTCAACAACTGTTCTTTTTGTATGGGGTTCTCTATTAACGCATGCATCAGGGCTACGGAAGAGAACCAGTTTGAAAGAACATCCGAGGAGAATAAACCTCCACAAAGAAGCTGGCCACTGGTCAAGGTAGACATTTCTGTGGAAGATGGTAGAAGAGTTTGGACGAGAGAAGCTTGAGATGTTTCGTTGTGGTATAGGTAACATTCAAAGCAGTAGAGGACTGCGCATCTGTAAATAGAAAAGTAGCAATTAATGTTTGACAATAAATATCTTTAATACATATGTCTCACCAGTTCTAGTCATAAAGGTTTAGCTCTTTGTCATGCTCAACTTCTTTTTTCATTGTCTTTTTTAAAAAAGTCCAAAACCATGTGCTTTCTTTATTGCATTTTGTTTTATATTTTTCTGTGTAGATATGATATTAAGCTAAAATTGCAAGCAAATTTCTTCTAGTTTTGGCGTGAATACGTCTTTAAAATTTATAATAATTTTTATAATAGTTTCACACACACACGGCCGTCTGATCCCAAACTAGGCAGAGCCTGTACTATAGTAACCAGACTGCTGATAAACATACTTATATATTTCTAAATACATACATAATATAGATAAATTATACCCAGACACAGAACAAATGACCATAATCATCACACAATATTTGTCCTGGGTGGGAATCAAACCCACGACCTTTGGCGTAGCAGTCAGGTTCACTAACCACTAGACCAACAGGCCAGTCAAAATTGCGTCCATAGTAGGTGGGTAATTCAAAAAAATCCAGAAAAGTGCTAGTCGGACTCGCCCACCGAGGGTTCCGTACAAATTTGTAGATACTACTGTAAATAGTTCAGGGCCTCAATTCTGCTATTACGCCAAGCCAGTGTCATACCACTGACACGCTATTGAGATGCCATCGAGTGGCCATTGGCATCGGTATAAATATCGGTAGTTGAAAATATATTACGTTTTTTGAGGAAATGATTTATTTGTTATTATTAAAATAAATTATTAAAAGAAATAAATAAATTAAAATAATATTAAAAAAATAAAATTAAAAAAAAGAAATAAATATATTAAAATAAATTATTAAAGAATAAAATATAAAAATTATGAAAAAGGAAATAAATAAATTATTAAAAAAATAAAATTATAAAAAAAGATAAATCTCATTAAAAAAAAAAAGAACAATAAATTATTAAAATAAAAAAATAAAAACAGAAAATTATTTCCTCAAAAAACGTAATATGCGACGCCAATGGCTACTCGATGGCATCTCAATAGCGTGTCAGTGGTATGACACTGGCTTGGCGTAAACATAAAATAGCAGAATTGATCTCCTGGAATCGAGTCCCGCAGTTTTTGCCGAGCTTATTCCGCAATTCAGTTTCCGAAACCTGTATTACTTACATGTGTACAGTGAAATTGTACTCGTACCTCGATGAATGATTACGTACTTTAAATAAAGTTTTTATGATTTAATTGCAATTATATGGTTTCAGATTTTTCCCTGTACCTGTAGTATAAGACGATGTTACTTGCCAAATTTCATAGTTCTGGACCAACAGGAAGTACCCTATCAATTTTGATTTGAGAGAATGTTGAAATATGCGTTTTAGTGACAAAAGCCGCCGAATCTTTTTTTATGTTAACTTAGAAGTCTGGAGACCGTAGGACTGACAAGCGACTAAAGACCTGAGTATATGGTTTTAATTTCAACTCTATACCTCCACGCGTTCCCGAGATAGAGGGACTTGACAGACAGACGGACAGACAAACAGACAGACGAACAACAAAGTGTTCCTATAAGGGTTCCATTTTTTCCTTTTGAGGTAAGGAACCCTAAAGATGAATAATCTTTTTTCAAATCAATAAATCGGTAAAGGTTCAAAAACAATAATAAATAACCAGAACTAAAGATAAATTACGCAATACTCACCTCAAAGAAAATGGCTGTTTCTCATTAACCATGGACATCAGTAACAAAACAATACATGCTCTAGGCGGATTAGAAGGAGCCATCACGTTGCCTAGAAATTCCTGATTGGCCACATCTCCTCTCACACACTCCCCAACTGTATTTATCGTTTCTGTTAAAATATCAGCTGGCACTCCACTTGACATTAGAATATTACAAAGAGCATCTAATAAACCAACTTTCTTCATTATCTTTTGACAGTTCGAAATGATCTGAGCAGAGTTGCTCGGTGAAACTAGAGTTCTGACTATAAGCAACATGCAATGGACGTTGGAAACCTTCTGAGGTGACCAGCCTTCTTCTTCTGCTCCTTCTGGAGGTGTATTAAACATAGGCAGCATCTTCTGGATGTAACTGCCTTCTTTAAAAAAGTTTATATTACTGCTGTTATTTTTTAAAAGGTTCAGCATCAGTAATAGACAATCTTCTACAATTATGCCACCATCTGAGTATCCCTCAGAAGATACAATTTCAAATAATCTATCAAAAGCATTTTCAAAGGCCACAATCTTTTGTATATTTGCGTTGCCTTTGGTTAATTTTATCAAAAGAAGAAGTGTTTCATTACGTATGACTTCTCTTGTATCTCCAAGAAGATCCATCATTTTGGAGACCCCCATTGGCTTTACTAAGATGATTTCCTGTATGTCTTTTGGTCGGTTTGTAAGTAAGGACGTTAAAAGTTGTACAGCTGATAGTCTAACCCTAAAATCGTATTCATCTAGCAGATCCAAGATCAGTTGTATATTATTATGGTCCTTGATGAACATTTCTGTAAACTGTTCTCCAATGTTCATGGGTACACGAGGGTTGTCTTCTTCTTCCTCGAACTGCGTTGGAGACATGATGTTGTTTATTGTGTCTAAAGCATAATTTATGGTCTCGTTGTCTGCTCTATCTAGTTCTAGAACCTGGAAAAAGAAGTAGGATTTTTTAAACTTTAAATTGAACTAGCTAAGATCTGGGTATTTTAATCAGAACAACGTCACGTCACTGATTAATTGCAAATTTTAATGGATGGGATTTTAATGGCGTGGTAAACACGGGTTACTAAGCCAGCAGCACCTACTTAAGCGCGCCTTACTACAAGGGTAACAGGCGACCCATTTCGCTACCCTGGTATGAAAGTCGGAGATCATTCCTTGCCCCGCTTGTTTGGTCAACGCATTCTCAAAGACGATGTAACTCTAGATTATCACACTGATCATGAATCACTAGATAATTACTGTGCATTGTTGATGCAGATTAAATCAAATGTAAACATGATTGCGATTCGACCAATACGTCGAGTAAATGCCCGCGTTAGGAATATAATAGGTCTTTACCTATGAAATTGCCGTTTTGTATGCAATAAGTGAAAGCACTTATTTTTCAAACTTTTTTATTTCTGTTATTCAAAGTAATCACCCATGCAATCGACGCATCTTTGCCAACGCATTGGCAGTTTATTGATGCCCTTCTTGTAAAAATCAGCTGGACGGGAGGCAACAAACTCTTAAAGGCATTTTGTACTGCCTCTCGGGAATTGATTTTTTTACCCACTAAAAAGTTGTCTAAATTTTGGAAAAAGTAATAGTCGGTAGGTGCAAGGGTTATTGCATACAAAACGGTAGGTAATTTTATAGGTAAATACCTAATATTATGTGTCGAAGGGGATAACAACAACGAGAAGAACACCCAGACTCAGAACAACAATTTGTGGATCACACGAAGTGTCGTCCCGTGTGACGATCTGACCTAAAACACTCAGCGTAGTAGTAAGCGGCGAGGTGACCGCTTAAACCACTACGCCATCCGTGCAGTCAAATTAAAAATTAAAAAGTGTAAGCAAAACATTAGAGACGGGGTTACAGTTAGATGCTTTATTGTGCGTTCAAAGCGACATACAACGAGCACAGCATGTAAACCGGGCCTCAATTCTGCTATTTTAATATTCTATCAATAGACTGTCGATGGAATGTCGTCGGAATAGTTTTTTACTTTTCCTATTCTACTAACTATGTAAGACCTAATTAATTGCAAATTTTAATGGCGCGATAAACACGGGATACTAAGCCGGCGGCACATATTTACGCGCGCCTTACAAGGGTAACAGGCGACCCATTTCTGGTCTGGACCGGGGCATATGAATATCGGAGATCATTCCTTGCAAATTTGCCTTCCAATGAGTAACAGTTTGGTAAAAGGTGCATTTTTTTGTAAGATAATGATACATTTTTTTTTCCAGGTATGGCAATGTTGTTGATATCACCATTGATGACCTATATAACTTTTTTTTTTTTAAATAGACTACTCCCGCATTAGGATATATTCCTGTGTCGCGGGGGACTTCACAAACATACATGAAACGGACACAAAGAACACCCAGACTTGGACCAACAATTTGTAGATCACACAAAGTGTCGTCCCATGTGGGGTTTGAACCCACAACACTCGGCGTAGTAGGATGCGGCGTGGCGACCGCTTAAACCACTACGCCATCCGTGCAGTCCGTATATCGATAGTCTATTGACACTGTGAATTTATGTTAGTTGATTGGTATCAAAGACGTCTCAATGGCATCTGAGTAGCGTACGTTAACATAAAACAGCAGAATTGAGGCCCAGGTTCTTTATGCATACTAGCGCGTATGGGACGTCTATCGGTTTACAGATCAAAGGGTGAATGTTGTTTTGCTTCTGTGTCTGATTACACCCGATCGCCCGCGTCGCATAGTATAAAGAGTTAATTTAAAAGTTTGCATTTTCGCGGCGTACGGAGGACGTGACCACCAAATTAATTTTTGACGACAGCAAATTAACAATTATGTCGGAATGGTCTACCGATCAAATATTACTCTCTCCCTGGAGTGTTAGCAGTGAGGACAAATAATTGGGACCCCAAAGTATCACAAAGATAACAAAAAGGTTCTGGTATTTTTTTTATGTCGACCTACCCTACCCTACCCCTACGATACGAGATCTATGTCGGTGTCGTCTCCTATGTTTGCACCGACTAGCATGACGTGTGAATATCTTGCTTGGCCCGCGTAAGTGAGGCTTCGTGCCGTACTGCTTGCCAGGCTGTGCTATGTGCGCTAATCAACAGACGCTATATCAACAAATACTAACCTGTTTCAACGTGTCCAAACATAGGGCGCCAACTTCCACCCTATAAGTCCTCGACATGGCCTTGAGCGCGCGACAAGCATCCCTGCGGTCTTCTAGTAATGTCGAGTTGTTTACACGATCTACTAAACGCTCAACCTGAAGAAGAATAGTCATGTTATTGTCAATATTTTTATCAATCAGCCTTCAGTGGGTAGATCAGCGTCACGGACCACGAAACAAATATAACAAATAACTCTGATACAATCCATCGTAGTAGTTGGCAGGTCGTCCTTTTCAAAGTTAAATACACTGAATAAGAAATAATCACAAGAGCGAATGGGCAGACAAAAACCACAGCAGGATAGGAGGAGAATGGGGATAGGGAACTATAGGACCAATGCAGCATGAGAGCCATGCATATATATTTAAAATATACCATCACATATATACATATAAATACATATAAACATAAATAAAGACATATAAAGACATATAAATTTAATACATTCTTTAATTATTTTAATTCTAAAACCAGTAATTGCAATATTCAAATTTAAGGCAAGTGAAGTGAGAAACGGATAATTAAAGTAATAACAGTGTTGTTAACTAAACCTGTTTATAGGTATTTACAATAGTAAATGAGCCAGTTAGAGAGAGGAGAGGCCTATGTCCAGCAGTGGACTAGTAAAGGCTGTTGATGAATAAAATGATGTGTTTATCAAAATCAGTAAGAAAATTTTAAAGAATGAACTTTAATAATAGTGTGCAATGAATTTACATCATCATCATCATCATCAACAGCCTTTAACAGTCCACTGCTGGACATAGGCCTCTCCTTAGAATTTAAGAGGAGGAGGATTGAATTTACATACAATTATTTATATATTTGACATTAACAAGACCATGTGTCAACCAGGTTGCATGAGCCATCATCACAGGCTACTCACATCATCCTGATATTTGAGCATGTTACACTAGCCATGCGCACAGGCCGACTCATGTCAGTAGGTTAGTGTCAGTTAACCATATGTATGGTAATTATTACAATACCACAATGAGTTTCAGTATAAGGAGATAAAATTTTAACAAATTCAAAGAAGTAGGTACTTATTGATATTTAAACAGTTGTCAAAAGACCTGTTTTTGCATAATATTCTGTTTTTTTGTATAATTGAAAAGCTTAACATTAATACATAATTGTATTACTTATTTTTAAAAGTAGTTATCCTCACATAATGGTTTTTTATCTGTCCATGTGGTGACAGATTAAGAATACACAGTATCACTACCCCTATTCCCCCACCCCCATGGGTGTTGTAAGAGCCAACTAAGGGAGTTAACTACACTGCAAAGAGAAGAAAAACTTGACACAAACCCTATACCAACCCATCTGACCAGGTGGTATAGTAGGCCAAAACCTTCTTTCTAAGTAGAGGCCTATGTCCAGCAGTGGGCTATTAAAGGTTGATGAAGATGAATTGTGTTTTTATGGTATAGGTGGCAAATAAGTAGTCAGGGAAAACCAATGGTAAGTGACTACTGCTGCCTCTTAACATGTGTTACTAAGGCACAAGTGCATTGCCACCTTTTAAGTCTCCCCAAAATGAGGGTGTTTGGGGCATCGGTAACCTCACTAACCAGGTAAAAGGCAACAAAAGTAATGCCACAGTAATAACATTAGTTTTCTTTGATCCAGTTGCACTATAGTTCTGAAGGCCAATTCTCGTAATAAAAGTTCTATCTCAATTTAGTTCTGATTTTGTAGTAAAGTATTACTAAGACTACCAGATTAGCAATTCCATGTTTGGCAGCAATACAATATACTTACTACGAGAATACTTAATACTACAATATACTTTACTACGAGAATAACTTTCATGACAGTAGTGAGATCAAAAGTTGATTGAAACTGAATTGAGACCAAACTTTTATTACCAGAATTGGCCTTCAGTTTTCTGTGAAGCAAGTTATCAGACCCTTTCTGATGAAGCAAGACTCTTCAAATGTTGATAGTCATGATCTGATATTAATGGAGCATTTTGTAGACATTGTACTGGTGTGGGATAGCTAAAACAAATTTAGTTTTAGCTTTGCAGCAGTAACTACTCAGGATTTCCTAATGTTATATGGATCCTTGCAAGGTTGCTTGATAACCACTAGTCTTTATAAAAATATCTCTTATTTCTTCTGTTTCTAGTGGCAATCATCATCATTATTAGCCTATCGCAGTCCACTGCTACACATAGGCCTCTCCTATAGCAGGAGAGGCCTTTTGGTAATATTAATGATTAATTATACTTTGGTATATATTGTTATATACAAAAACTTATCCATTATTGCAAAATCCAGAGACTGTCTTTTTTTTTTACAGATAATCAAGGAACTTTTGACCATTCTATTTATATTTTCAAGAAATATCTTTTAAAATTGATTTTTAAATCTGACTTACTTTATAACTAAGCAATTTCATTACAACTGCAATTGCAATAATACTTAATTTCATTATAAGATAACATATTTCAAAACACTCATGTTGATAATAATTTATTACTAATGAAAAATGAACTGAACATATGTAAAATTTATTGTGACCATGCTAATAGATGTGGCAAAATATTGCGGTTCATGTGTGCACCTAATTATAATAATTTTATTCATAAATATTTTATGATATCAGTATCATGAAGTAAGAAACTAGAACTGAAGCCAATAAAAGACACGATCAAATTAAGAATTTTAGGATTTACATCCGATCTGTGCCCGCCTACGCTTATATTGTATATATAAAATAGCTGCAATCCATATCTGACTATAAATAGGTCAACGTATGCTTTAATTCTAGAAGTAAATAGTGACAGAACTTACGGTCTCCGCTCCAGTAGGTTGATGGCCAGGTTCCGGTGCACCCAGCACGGTTTTTAAGCCGCTCTTAAAAAAATCCATATTTCACAGATTCCTTATTACTAATCTTAACACACTTTACTCTTATTATTGGGAATGCATTGCTCAAAATACTAAAACTCGGAGAAAATCCATGAATCCCATTTACACGACACGTCAAAGCATTTCTGACATTTGCGTTTCGTTCGTTAATAATAGTGTTATATCGGCTGATTTGTGGTGTTCATATAAAGATAAATGATATTATTTCGGTTTTATGAATATTTTTAATTTTACTAGATATGTTTACATACTTATTTAAATTTAAAATCTACCCCAGGTTTAACTCGAACTTTAGGTCAAAATGCGTGTTAAAGTAAATTGATAACATAAAAACTGTAATAACATAACGATCTGTCAATTTTTGTTTTAGTGTTACAGTAACCTCAATAACGAATCTTAAAGAATTATACAATTTAGACCTTCTTTCCCAGGGAATACGGTTTTTTTTCATATTAACTTAGAAGGTAAATTAGGTCTATTTATCGTTTTGACAATTCTATTGTCTTGTCAACAATATTCCTATTCCTACTTTGCTTTTGCTCTGCAGTCTTACACTTATTGTAAACTCATAAAAAAAATTGTGTTGTATTTTCCAGGAAGTCTTACTTAGTATTTTATAAGCGTTATTAAATATCCTTAAAAAATGTCTACGGACCTCAATGCTAGTTTCAACGAGCAATACATGAACATTAACACTAAAATGAAAAAGTAAGTTTGGCTAAAGTATTTCTTTTGTTAATTGAAACCTTCAAACCAACCAGATATTTGTTAAACAGGAGATTCATGCGCAAACCAAACATATCAGAAGCGACGAATGAGTTTATAGCTCTAGCAATTCAATGTGAACACTCTGACCAGCCAGCATTTGCTGGACACGCCTATGTTGGTGCTGCGAAGTGTGAAGCTTCAGGGGGTAACTTTTTAGGCGAAGCAGAACATTATTTGGCTGCGGCTAGACAATTTATGAAAGCTGAGAAGAAGTTAAAGTCTCTGAAATTCTACAATGCAGATAGAGAGAACTTAGAGGTAATGAAATAGACGTTTATATGATACGTAACCAAACTCTCGATCTCGCAACTTTCATAAAAGATGTTTTCGTAGTAAAATAATAAAGTTTTAGTACGACTAGTAGATTACCGATTACATTTGCGGGTAATATACGATATAAAAACATTACAGTCAATGTTGTATGTTTAATACTTTATTAAAAAAATACCTTACCTTGAAATACCTACCAGTTGTGAGATCGAGACTTGATCGGAACCGAACTGTGACCGAACTTTAACTGCAAGAATTGACGGACTGACTTTCACTTTAAAAAAATATAATCTGTCTTTGTTTTTAATGTATCAGATGAGACACATGAAGCATGATTAAGTAGGTGACCAGTGAATATAGGTAATGAGGTGGTCAATAAGAGAAGGTGTGTAACAAGTATATATATGTATGTAAGAAGCATATATTTATCATTACAGGCAGCTACTGGATGTTTTATTCAGGCTCTTAAGAAATATCCAGAGAAATCACCACTAAGATACTCTATTCTGATGGAACTGGCTAATGACCTAGTAGAACTGAACCACAAGTTGGAAGCAACATCTTATTATGAACAAGCTATGGAATCAGTGCAAGAATATACTATGAGGGTCATGTGTATGAGAAATTTAATGAATTTAAAGATTGACTGCGGTTAGTTTTTTTTTTATTTACAGTGGGAATTGGGATTGATGATTAGATTATAATAACTCCTTTGACAACCTTTATATAACCGACTTCAAAAAATACTATCAAAAGTGCTAAAAACCTAGCAGCAATTAGCTGTCTTTTTTGAAGAGTTATGTTGTCTGTCTCTGAAACTCATCATCAGATTTATATGACATTTATAGGGGATCATTAAGGTATAAACCCCTCAACAAGAAAAAAAATTGCAAATCTGTCTATATGTAACAGAGTTATGAGTATACATAAAAGAATATTCGACAGAACGGATGGCATAGTGTGTTAGGCCGTCGCCAAGCTGCTTCCTACTACACTGAGTGTTGTGGGTTCGATCCCCACACTGGACGACACTTTGTGTGATCCACAAATTGTCGTTCTGAGTCTGGGTGTTCATTGTGTCCGTTTCATGTATGTTTGTAAAGTCCCCCGCGACACAGGATTTCTTCCTAGTGCGGGAGTTGTCTTTTTTAAACAAAAAAAAGATATATATATATATATATAAACAACTAATTGAAATCTCCAACAATCCCAACTCTCAATGCGCTAGCCGTCGAGAGTGAGTCGATGTGAAATAAACTTGCACTCGACCCTCTGACCGTTTATTAATTTCATCTATAAAGCTATAATTTTGTTGTTTTTTCAGCCAAACATGATGAAGCCCTAGAAATCGCCAACAAAATATGTGACATTAATTTAAACGTTCCACAAGAAATTATTGCAGAGTAAGTATAGAGACTAACTTTGAAATAGAATTTCTTTGGCAACTTTAGAGAAAACTAAATTGTCAGTAATTTTGATAACTGAGTATATATATAAGTCCTGCACATCCTGCTCTACGGAAATACTATACCAAAGATTTCTTTTTCATGTAAGTTGCAACCTGGTAACTTATAATATGTTCATTTTGTTGCTTTCTAGAGTCCAAGTAAGCAGGATACTTTTGGCATTACTTGAAAAACCACCAGAAGATATCAAGACACCTTCTTTAAAGCAACTATTTGTGGACATCATGAATGATAATGAAAGTGATGGTAAGGAGCAAGATGTTGGTTGCTAATCCTGTCCAACCCATTTAAATAAGCCAATACTTAGGAAAGGTTTCTTCTACTCATGTCAGTAACAGTACAGCTTTTCTTGGTGTTGAGGTTCTTCCCCAGCCACTGCAGCAAAAACAAAGCTGTGTTTACTTTTTCCACTAAGGCTCTGGAACTCTCTTGGCAAGAAGCTTGTTAAGACGGTCGTGTGACCATACTACTCTCTTAAGAATAAAAAAAAACATTTTTTTATTAGCGTTACGTAATCGTTTAGCGTCTGTGGTAACACAGACTTTTAAAGGAAGATTACGCCTTGAGAAGTTTATAGTGAGTTTCCTACCGTTCTCTGTTACAGATACTTAAAAGATTTAAATGTTTTTTTTAACTGACTTAAAAAAAATTATAAGGTTAGGTCCATTTTGAGCCAGAATACAATTTATTACAATTCGTCATGACTCCAACGTAGGAGCATTGAAGCCGAAAATACTTTAAAAAAAGTTAAAACTATAGTTATCATAGATTAAAGATTCCAAGTTTCATATTTAGTCTTTCTATTTTATTTCTTTATTTTACTCCTGAAAACACACTCCTCACATTCAGTCCTAGGACAAATTTTTCATTTGTTGTAAAATTTTAAAAAAAATGTGTGAATGTTATTTAATTAAATTATAGTTTTCTCATTTGTTAATGTGGATGATTTTTGTTTACAGCAATTCCTTTGAATACAGATATAAGATTAAAGATGCAATCTGTGATTATATGTCACACAACAGGCGACATAAATTCCTTGATCAGTGTGGCTGCGGGCATCAAGCAGTTCCTGACTCTGCAGCAAGTGGAGTTATTGCACAGGTTGATCTCTGAGCATAAACTAGATCAGGCAGATGATACCAGATGTAGATCTGTAGACTAGTGTAGTATAAGAAAATAAAGGTTTTTGAAATTGTTGTTAAATAATTTCAGGTAGTCATATATATTATTTGTAAATATAGCTTTAAGAGTTGTATACTCGTAATAATAGCGATGAAACAATAATAAATGTATTTATTTTACTACTTATATAATGTAAATTTGACTGAATCAAAAAAACGGTACATAACAAAACTGACAGTAATTGACCTTAACCTAGTTTTTTTAACGGTTAAGGTTAGGTTACAAAATTATTTTGCTGGCAACACGCCCATGCTAACTACGTATTGCCAATGGACAAAATTTAAAAAGGTTAAAATTTTATTTACTGAACTGGTAACTAAAGGATGGGGATTTTTTACCAACAATCACAAAATATTTACTCTTAAAGATTTATGTGCTAGGGTTCATTCGTCTTACCTCAAAATACAATTGTGAATTAAACCGCATATTTTAGCATATAAATTTTGTCACATCCTTGACCTAAGCCTAATATTCGTATGCCGCAGTCGGATGTATGCCGCAGAAAAAAAACTACAAATACACCTACATGAATATCAGTTCGAGTAACAGGTATGCCATGACCAACGCGAGCTATCACTTTATCCGTATTTATATATCCCAAGTATATCCGTATAAGCAATATCCCTTTTCCTTACATACTGAACGAACTAATTGTTCCATCTTATTCCTAAAGGTAGGTTTTAGGCGTGACTGGGATTAAAATTGCAGAATATGAGCATTTAATACACCTTCGCTTACCTTTTTAGACATAAGAGTAATCTATACTAATATTATAAAGCTGAAGAGTTTGTTTGTTTGTTTGTTTGTTTGTTTGTTTGAACGCGCTAATCTCAGGAACTACTGGTCCGATTTGAAAAATTCTTTCAGTGTTAGATAGCCCATTTATCGAGGAAGGCTATAGGCTATATATCATCACGCTAAGACCAATAGGAGCGGAGCACCAATGAAGAATGTTTCAAAAACGGAGAAAATTTATTACTATTGAGAGACGCAGACGAAGTTGCGCGGGTCAGCTAGTTAAATATAATTATATTCTCGGATATCTGACACACAACGCCATCTAGTTTCAAACTAAGCAGAGCTTGTAAAGCTATATTGACTGATAGAATAGAATAGGATATATTATATAGATAGGCATGATCACCTAGCCTGGTCGGAGGATCCTCCCTTTGTGTTGGAGGGACATGATGACACCCGTTCCTCCACACTTATATACTTGTTTTTATAAAGACATTTATAAAAAAAAAGTATAAAAGTATTCTATTCTATAAATTATCTAAATGGCAACAAAATTTAAATTACGGTGACACAGAAAATCTTCTAAATATTACTTAACCTAACTTTCATATTGTAATACTACATACAGAATACTCTATTGCATACACACGCTCCTTAACATACATACACACCCCCACATGCATACTTACTCATAAACATACTGTACTAGGAATCAGACATTGTGATAATTTCTGTTTAATAAGTTCATAAAATTGTAAAAGTGAGCATCAATCTACTTGCTAATTTTTTTTTCCTTCACAGCAGAAAACTTATCTCCAAAATACAGGTGTCCACCTAGCTTGGATTTCAGGGTATAAACACAAATTTGTCCAAAATTAATGAGTAGTAAACGTTTAATATTACTTACTGTATATTATACACTAGCTGACCCGCGCAACTTCGTCTGCGTCTCTCAATAGTAATAAATTTTCTCCGTTTTTAAAACATTCTTCATTGGTGCTCCGCTCCTATTGATCTTAGCGTGATGATATATAGCCTATAGCCTTCCTCGATAAATGGGCTATCTAACACTGAAAGAATTTTTCAAATCGGACCAGTAGTTCCTGAGATTAGCGCGTTCAAACAAACAAACAAACTCTTCAGCTTTATAATATTACCTAGTATAGATAGAAAACACCCAAACTCCAAAACAAGTATTTGTAGATCAAACAAACACTTGGCACAGCAGTCGCATACGCTACCACTACACCACCGAGGCAGTATGTATATACGTATTTAGAAATAAATAAGTATATTTATCAGCAGTCTGGTTACCATAGTACAGGCTCTGCCTAGTTTGGAATCAGACGGCCGTGTGTGAGATGTGTGAAGTTATTATTATTATTGCTTCATTGTTTCACTGAAAAGATTTTGTTTTAATAAAACACCAACATAAATCCTTCAAGTCAATTTATTAATCAAATCGAACCCATTTGAAAAATAAATACCTACATTGAATGTTACATGTTATTATGTATTGTCAAACATTTTTTTTTTTCAATTTTCATTTAAACAGTAAAATACAGTTGTGTACTAAAATAACCACACATTTTGTTTTAAGAAGCTTATTAAGACTTAAGAATACTACTGGTGCTTAACTTAGGTATATTAACTTTAACTTTTAACTTTAAAATATTAGTCCATCATTTCTGATGTCCCTTGATTTTCTTTGTTTGTTCCCTCAAGTTGTTGAAAACAGAATTAGATAATTTCATGTCGAACCCGGCACCATCACCAGTACACACCTCAGGAGGAAATGCCATTACTTTGCAGGCATTTCTTCTGCCATTAATTACACTGTCATGTTTGGTTACCATCTCTCCATCTTTCATCATATATCCACGCTTAGGAAGACTCGCGAATTCTTTCTCGTTAGTTTCAAAGCGGTCCCAATCCTTCTTCTCCACAATATGTTCTTCATCTGGCTTTGAATCATAGATCAAATGCTTAGGGATAATAAAATAATTGTCGTAGGACACGGATACTTTAGCATCCCCATTCTTTTTCTTTTCTACCCTCTTTAGCTCGTCGTCGTATTCCTTTTCGAATTGAAATTGCAAAACTTTCGCAATAATGGCATCTGAGTCACAGAACTCCTTAGCATTAGACAGTTCTATTTGTTGTATTAATCCTTGTGATACATCGTTAGATGTGCTTACATGCTGATCAGACAGTTGTTCAGCAAACTTTATTTCCTCCTTAACCTGTAGTCCTAGAGCTAATTCTTCAGCCATGATCTCAGAAAGATCTTGCACATCTGTTGGTGCGGCAATTTTTTTCCACGGGCTCGTCATTTTGAATCTTTTGTTTTTATCTATATCACAGATCTTGGAATAAAAATATAATTATTTTATGATGATGTTATGCACTGAATTACACAAGATGAATAAATACTATTGCAAAATTTGCAAATCAACCTACAAAAGTACAACCTACCCACACAAATCCTTTCTGATCTGACATTAACTTAGAAACTAATTTTTTTTTATATTGGAGGGGGCAGACGAGCAGACGGGTCACCTGATGGAAAGCCTGACCACCGCCGCCCATGAACGTCTGCAACTCAGGAGTCACAAATGCGTTACCGGCCTTTTAGGAAAGAGTACGAACTTTTCTTGAAGGTTTGAAGGTCGTATCGGTCTGAAAATACCTCAGCCGATAACCCGTTCCACAGATTGGTCGTGCGGGGCAAAAAGTGACGTAATACGAATAATTATTGTCACGTATTTTGCTTTTTATAGTTCTACGGATGGAGGCTCAAGACTCAGATGTAACTTAGTAATTTATTCTTTAGACCGAGGATAGACTTAACTGGCAATTTTCTATAAAATCTCAGTCATAAGTGGGAGTCGTTACCCCCTTCGGGTTAAATAGAACATACGTGGAACACGACGCGAACTATTTTCGGACCAATGTACTTCTGGTTCTGTAACTCCTGGTGCTTCTCCTACGTGATGAAATAATTTTAGTCCTCTCCTGTTCATTTTTTTATTTAAGGCACCTGGTTGCAAAATGAGGCTGTGGAGTATAGTAGTCTTGGACTATTATTACTGCTACAAAATCTATTTCAAAATTTTTTAGACTGTACCAGCACAATCAAGGCATAAAACTACCGATTAGATGGCACTTAGCTAAAAGTCCGTGTAGTGACGGATTAAGAATACGGAATGTCACTACCCCAATTCATCCCGTGGGTGTCGTAAGAGCCGACTCAGGGCGCAAAACAACGCAGGACACCAGCACTGCAAAAGGAAGGAAAACTTGACACAAAACCCTTCACCAACCCGTCTGGCCAGCGTGGTATAGTAGGCCAAAACCTCCTTTCTAAGAAAAGGCCTATGTCCAGCAGTGGACTATTAAAGGCTGTTGATGTGATGTGTTGATGTAGCAAAAAGTTGAGAATGGAGTCTTGAATCTAATCGCAACTAGATAGTTACTTGATTAAGCACCTTTTCAGGTTAGACGATCTTGCAATATAAATTGCACAGGTCTCTAAAGGTTTCTTCAACTAGGATGATGAGCTATTTTACCGTTGTATCATTGTACCTAGATACTGCAGTTATGTTTAGTTTTAAAAACAGCACCGTCATAGATACAAAAAACTGTCTAAAAAGAATATTATACATCTCGTCCTGTTGATTCGGAATAAATAAGAAATTTAGTAAGAATGCCAAGTCTGATGAATGAAATTCCTTCCATTCGTTCAGGGATTTCAAACTTTCTCACTAGAAAATAATTGTAGTTTCCTATCTGTTACTATCGCATTTAATCGCCTAAAACTATACCTACATAGTTTTTTTATTAACATTGCAGTTATCACACATAAAGTACCATTAGGTGCTTTGTGTGTGTCTGTAATACTCTCTACACTATTAAGTGTGAAGAGTATTTCAGAGTAGAGGTAAGGAGAACCGTCTTTTATCGAGGGAAAGTCGGGGAAAGTTGAAAAATAATACTTTTAAAATCGAACAGAATGGCGCTAGTGTAGCCGAAGGGAATGACATGAACATAACAGTTATAGACGGAGTGACCGAGTGAAGTTTGCTGACTTCAAATACTTTTATTAACCGAGCTCAAAAAGGAGGAGGTTATCAATTCGTATGTTTATATTTTTTTTATGTAGGTATGTTCAGGCGTAACTCCGTCATTTATACACAGATTTACAGAAGGCTTTTTTGTTCTAAAGGGATTTATTCCGTAATAGTCCCGTTTAAATTTCATATAGATCTGATGATGAGTTTCGGAGACAGATAACGGAACTCTTCAAAAAATAACAGGAAATGACCCGCGATTGCTGCTAGGTTTTTTGTTACTCTTCGTTAGTATTGTTTGAGGTCGCTTATCTTTTTTTAAAGGATTTATTGTCTTAAAATCATTACACGTTTATCGTGTTTATCACACGGTCCAAAGCAAAAAAATGACACTTTAGAGAAAATGAAGATTAAAGTTTAAATTGGATTTTGCTAATTGATATTCTATTTTGTGCTTTTGTTGATTTAGGACATAGTTACAAAAATTGTTGTCCTTTTCATAGAGATAATTTTTAATGGGAATAAATAAATATTTTTCGAAATATTTAAGTAAATGTGGGGTTAGATCGTTTTAGCTAAAAGCCATTTTCAATTATGCTAAACTTTTATTGAATTTCGCTGCAACGATCCAACATGGCAAAATGTTATGTAATTATAGACTTATGTCGGAAGACAGTAAATTTTCTTTAAAGAATTTTCATTATATTTATTAGTTAAAGTATCTGAATAAAAAAAAAAAAAGTATTATGCATCTATAACAACCTTAGATCAGTTTCATATTATTATTACTTACTTTTCTTACTTACTTACTTATCATTATTACTACTAAATGACCCAGTGAACTTCGTACTTATCACCTACATCTATTTATTATCTATATTTATAATATTTCTTTTTTTACAAAATTAGAGAGAGAATTTATATTTATAAACTACAAAAAAAAGTGCTTCACTTGATTTTTTGAAATAAACACATCCTATCTAGCTCTCCTATCCTGGCTATCAATCTAAAACACTGCCTTTTTGCTAGGATTGGAATGTGAGTGTACGTTAGACGCTATCAGTTCACGCGTCCTGTGGCTCCATGCAGATAGCGACGACGATTCCCGCGCCTATGCATGCCTCTAGAGGTCCCAAAGCGGTGATGTCGAAATTGACCCACTCACGGACCACGTCCAAATGGCTACAGATACTGTGTTGCAGCAGATACCATCCGCTGAGATTGTAATACTTATCGACATTATTGCTTGTAATGCCGAATGACTTTACACACGCTAAATCCATAGGTGGCCGAACTATTTTTAGAATCGTACATAACTATAATACATATAGTACATAATTAATATCATACATTAAATACAATTCTTAGAATTTAAATGCATATTCTACTTAACAAACAATATTGCAAATATGTACTGAGTACAGCATATGCATCAAAGTTTTTGACATAAGGCGTACTAAACCTAAACAAATTATGTTCAACTAGTTGTACCCTGCCACGCTTCGCTATGGCACATTTTGGCTACAAAATATAGATAAAAAACATATATGAAGCATGTTGTACACAACAAAATGTCGTGTCAAATTTTGAGCTCAATCGACTCAAAAAATTTCGAGTTTTTGAAGCGTACACAAACCAACTATTTTATAAATAAGATTTTATTATATGGTTAGATAGGAAGCTTTTAAAGCGGTTGAACGATTTTAGAATATCATCAACATGACGATTTAAAAAATAATCAAGCGATGGGTTTTTATTTGTTGGGTAATGAATTAGTTCATACTTTTCCATAATATCATCCTTAATATTAAAAATAAACATGTTTTATGTGAGCAGTGTGAGACGGATACTGCATAGAAAAATAATCTTACATGTTGCATAACACTTTCCAGAGTCGTTTAGTAGGGGATAACAAAAGGTTTATTTACTTTCTTATCTATGATTCCAGTGTTTTTTTTACTGAATACTTTCCACACCACTTCACGACACATGACGGTATATTTTTTCAATCAAATAGCGTAAAAACACGATCGAAACGCTGGTGCATATATTACGCCCCGTCCACTGCGGTAGATATTTCATGGAACCATTTTTTAGGCTTAGTTACACTTCTTCGTAGGGACTGGCAGACTTACTTACAGAAATAAATATAATTTATCATTTTATTATCTGTAAACGAATTGACTATTTTCGCAGTCTCGTACACAAGTATCTAATTATTGTTTATATTTTTCTTTCAATGTTTATTTTTCTATCCTACTCTAACATCTCTTAGTGCTTTGCTTTTGTTCATACAGCTAAGGAATTTTCTTACGTATTCGGAATCAGCAGGACGAGATGTATAATATTCTGTTTAGACTGTTTTTTGTATCTATGACGGTGCCGCTTTTAATACTAAACATAACTGCAATATCTAGGTACAATGATCCTAGTTGAAGTAACCCTTAGACACCTATGCAATGCAAATAACCTGGAAAGGTGCTTAATTAAGTAACTGAGTAGTTGAGATTAGATTTAAGACTCCATCCTCAACTTTTTGCTAAGTGCCATCTAATCGGTAGTTTTATGCCTACATGGGGCTGGTACAGTCTAAGAATTAAAAATCAAAATGGCAGTAATAATATTACAAGACCAATATATACTCATTATTTTCGAGACCAGGTGCCTTAAACCAAAAAGGGACCAGTAGAGGACTAGCATTCTTTCATCCCGTAGGAGAAGCACCAGGAGTTACAGGAACAGAAGTACATAGGTCCGAGATAATAGTTTGCGTCGTGTTCCACGTATTTTCTATTTAACCCGAAGGGGGTAACGACTCCCACTCATGACTGAGATTATATAGAAAATTGCCAGTTAAGTCTATCCTCGGTCTAAAGAATAAATTACTCGGTTATATCTGAGTCCTAAGCCTCCATCCGTAGAACTATGAAAAGCACAATACGGTCAGGTATTCGTATTACGTCACTTCTCGTCATTGCGATCCATATAATATCATAGTGGCATCTATTGTGCATAACATTAACGTGTTCTCTTTTGCTCTCCGTATTTCTTTCACACATTCTATGTTTCTATCTCTGTCTCGTGGAATGTGTATAAAAGCAAATCTTAGTTTCTTAGTTGATGTCAGATTAGAAAAGATTTGTGTTAGGTTTGTACTGTTGGAGGTTGATTTGCAAATTTTGCAATAGTATTTATTCATATTGTGTAATTCAGTGCATAACATCTTAAAAAAATAATACATTTTTTATATCGAGATCTGTGATATAGATTGAAAACAAAAGATACAAAATGTCGAGCCCGTGGAAAAAAATTGCCGCACCAACAAATGTGCAAGATCTTTCTGAGATCATGTCTGAACAATTAGCTCGAGGACTCCAGGTTAAGGAGGAATTAAAGTTTGCTGAACAACTGTCTGATCAGCATGTGAGCACATCTAACGATGTACCACAAGGATTAATACAACAAATAGAACTGTCCAATGCAAAGGAGTTCTGTGACTCAGATGCCATTATTGCGAAAGTTTTGCAATGTCAATTCGAAAAGGAATACGACGACGAGCTAAAGAGGGTAGAAAAGAAAAAGAATGGGGATGCTAAAGTATCCGTGTCCTACGACAATTATTTCATTATCCCTAAGCATTTGATCTATGATTCAGAGTCAGATGAAGAAGATATTGTGGAGAAGAAGGATTGGGACCGCTTTGAAACTAACGAGAAAGAATTCGCGAGTCTTCCTAAGCGTGGATATATTATGAAAGATGGAGAGATGGTAACCAAACATGACAGTGTAATTAATGGCAGAAGAAATGCCTGCAAAGTAATGGCATTCCCTCCTGAGGTGTGTACTGGTGATGGTGCCGGGTTTGACATGAAATTATCTAATTCTGTTTTCAACAACTTGAGGGAACAAACAAAGCCACATAATACTCGCAAAGTTAAAGCGGTAGAACGTAAAGAAAATCAAGCCACATCAGAAATGAGTATTGATGGACTGACCGAGTTCCTTCTACATAAGCTTATCAATAATGGAATATTTCAGGGTATCAATGGAATAGTTTCTACTGGCAAAGAAGCGATTGTATTACATGCCAATGGAGACCCCTCTTATCCTGACTTAACAGTTCCTAAGGAATGTGCAATCAAAGTATTTAAGACTACTCTAAACGAGTTCAAAACTCGTGATAAGTATATAGAAGCTGATTACCGTTTTAAGGATCGGTTTTCGAAGCAGAACCCACAGAAAATTGTGCACTTGTGGGCTGAAAAAGAAATGCACAACATGTTGCGTTTGAAGAAGATTGGGGTGAATTGCCCTGACATGGTTTGTTTAAAGAAGCATATTTTGGTGATGTCTTTTATTGGGAAGGAAGGTATACCTGCTCCCAAGTTAAAAGATGTTATGTTTAAGCCAGAAAAGTGGCAGAGTGTGTACAATGAAGTTGAGGATGCGATGCATAAGATGTATAATGTTGGTCGCATGATTCACGCTGATCTGTCTGAGTACAACATCCTTTGGTGGGACGATAAGTGTTGGTACATTGATGTGTCCCAGTCTGTACAGCCTGAACACCCTAATGGACTGGAATTCTTGCTCCGAGATTGCCGTAATATTGTCAATGTAAGTAAATAGTATTTTTTTATTGTGTGGACCATTTTCATTTTCATGTTAGTTAGTTTGTTTTTATGATTTTATTATTAGATTTGGTCTATTGATGCATTCAGATTGTGACTTATAATCATAAACACATCATACACATTGATTGATAAACATTTACACCCAAACATGGAACAAAAGATTACATTTATTCCACAATAATTTGTCATGGGGAAGAATGAAACAAAAAATAGCAAATATTTTTAGTGTATAATCAAATTTTTTGAAGTGAAATCTTCTTTAGCCATGTTAAGCAATTTTTGGTAGGGAAAAAACCTCTAGGGTTTGTGTCACCGATGACCTTGACAGGCGCATGCATTGCGCCAAACTAGAGTGTATATTCATTGTTTTAAGTTTTCACTTCCGTCGGCAGTCCTATTGACTGCCTCTGTTTTTTTTTATTTCAAGGTCAATAAAGTCACAACCTAGATAGGTTAGATTTTGTAGTCTTGATGTATTTTAATGTATAACAAGTTTGTTTTGAGTTTTCATCTTTCTCCTGCTCCTTCATCCATAAGGATATCAATCAGAAAACATTAAAATACTGCTATTAATATCTTTGTGATAAATACTCGTTATGTGTTTTATAAATAGTGCACAAGATATGATATTCAGTTGTTAAAAGATTCTTATTATCTTATATCTTATCTTACAGTTCTTTGACAAGAAGGGTGTACAGGAGACAAAGTCAGCTGATGACTTATTCAAATATATTACCGGCTTTGAAGAAGTTGACGTTAACTTAGTTGAAGGTGTCCACCCAGCATACAACTCACTGTCATCCCGATTCGAGATTGCTCCTGATGATAAAAGAATTGTCAGTTACCCATTTGAGTACTGCTTTCAAAAGAGTAATGAGGGGAAACCTATGACTGGCAAGAGTGCAGATAAAGAAGAAGAATTTGAGGAGATGTGGACTCATTCTCTTCAAAATAAATCTGTGACTATGTCAATAGATAAAGCTGCTAATTTTGGTAATCCCATTGAGTTAAAGGAGGATGGTGGATCCAAAGAAAATGTCCCACCAGTTGTGGATAAAAAGGTCCACTTTGGGACAGAATTGGAAGTTATTATACCTAAGTTAGGCACCAGTAGTATTGATAAAAAGTCTTAATAAGCTTCTTAAAACAAAATGTGTGGTTATTATGGTACACAACAGTTTTTTACTGTTTAAATGAAAATTAAAAAAATAATGTTTGACAATATAACATGTAACATTCAATGTAGGTATTTATTTTTCAAACAAGGGAAGATTTGATTAATAAACTGACTTGAATCATGTATGTTTTTGTTTTATTATAACATAATTTTTTCAGTGAAACAATGAAGTAATACCTATAATGTACATATTGCCTTGGTGGTGTAGTGATATGCGTCTGCTATGCTGACGTCTTGGGTCCGATTCCCGGGTTGGACCAAATATTTGTATGATCTGCAATATTTGAATCGGTATTTTCAATGTAAAATATGTGTTTACAAAAAAAAGTATTTAAGTATTGTATTAGTCAATCTAACTTTCATAGTAGAAGCTCTGCTTAGTTTGAAACTAGATGGCGTTGTGTGTCTGATGTCTGAAAATCTGATAGAATCTTTAATCATCATCGGCAACAGCCTTTAACAGTCCACTGCTGGACATAGGCCTCTCCTTAGAAAGGAGGTTAAATAAAAATATCCATCATTAATAGAATAGCCGAATTAATTGAGTATTCCAGGAAGAGGTTGAGGCTAATAAAATATTCCCAAATATTTTAGGCGTTTGTAGAGTGCATAACCACTTAATTAGTAACTTTCTATGACATAAGCCTGCACTATGACCATCCATTGCAATCAAGTATTGAGACATTCTAGTTCTGCGATACAGTGAGTAACAAGTGCAATATAGAAACAAACATCAGTGAGAATCGTGTTATTTATTTGATAAATTGTCTTTTACTTGTATAAATGAGGATATTTAACAGACTTCAAAAAAAGGAGGTTATCATTTCGATGTTTATATTTTTTTTTATGTATACTCATGTTATACAACTCTGTTATATATAGACGGATTTGCAAATTTTGTTCTTCGCGAGGGTTTGTTCCTAAATGATTCCCTATAAATTTCATGTAGATCTGATGACGAGTTTCAGAGACAGACAACTTAACTCTTCAAAAAGAAAAATAATGAACTGCGATTGCTGCTAGGTTTTTAGCGCTTTTGAAGTTGGTTCAACTTTTTTTTAAAAGGAGTTTTATTATAAATAAATACCCACTGTAAATAAATACTAATCGCAGTAAATCTTTAAATTCAGTAGATTCCTCATACACATGACCCTTATAGTATATTCTTGCACCAATTCCATAGCTTGTTCATAATAAGATGCTGCTTCCAACCTTTGCTTGTTCTACAAGGTCAAGTTTCCATGCTAAAATTAATGCGAGTGTCTGTCTGTGACTGAACCGAATTAGATTTAATTTGGTATAGAGATAGTTTATCTTAAGAAAGGACAGGATTGTTTATATCCCAGAAATCATCCTTTAAGGGGAAGTATGTGCGGGGAATCAATAACCGCTGAAACCGATTCAGATGAAATTTGTGATTCAGATAGTTTGACTCTTGATAAAGGACTTTTCACCATAACCGACATACACGCTGGCAAAAGCTAGTCATGTATATATTAATACTAAATGCAAGCAACAGACATATATCTTGGGTAAGGATTACAATTAATTTTGTAATATACCTTTACCTTGGACCGTTATACCTGGATACACAGGCATGAGCATAACATACAAGTCTTTCAGATTAACAGAATTACAAATTAACACAGATGATTCAGTGTTGTAGCAATCAACAATAATTAGTTAAAATATCAAAATGGGATGCATTGCCTATGAGATAATATTTTCGGACATCTGACACACAACGCCATCTAGTTTCAAACTAAACAAAACAAATTATGAGAGCTAGATTGACTGATGGAATACTTTTAGACTTTGTTTTTGTAAATAAATATTTTACAAAGATGTGGAGGTTTTTCAAGACAAAGCATCAAACTAAAGTCAGTGTGTCACAAGATGCAAAATGTTCAAAGGAGCATTAGGCAGTTAAACCAATGATAATAATAGTAATTATAGATTTGGAAGTAATTATTATTATTATTATTATATTAATATTAAGCAGATTATTGATTAGATCCTTCTATTAAGAGCAAAATAAAACCCAATAGATTTTTCACTTATTTATTTTAAGCCCTAACATTCACTTTGCTGCTTTCTTTCCTCCACCAGCCTTAACGCTCGCCTGTTGTGCTTTAAGAACCTTGACAATCTTCTGTTCTTCAATGAGGAAAGCTCTGACAATGCGCTGCTTCACACACTTGTGGCAGAGGACACCACCGTACACACGCTTGACGGTCTTCTTGCGGTAGCAGAGACGTGAACGTTCAGCGGGTCTTGCGGGCTGAATACCACGGAGTTTGCTCTTGCACTGCCCACATCTCGGGATCTTCTTGGGCTTCTTGACATACTGATAGACCAATCGTCCACCAGGAGTCCTTACTCTGAAATTATATAATTCAAATTTTAAATACTCTATTAGAAGAAAATTTTCTTTGGTAAACATATGTTGTTGTATTTTCATAATTCATTTCCTACAGTTAGTGATAAAACATCAATGAAATAAAAAGTAATTTTTAGTCAGATTGTAATACGGAAGATCAATATATTTTTTTGTATAAACTGTTTGGACATATACAGTTAGGGTATTTTTTTTATTATAACCAATTGCTGTTGCCTAAAAATCATTTACGACTTTTAATGCTATTTGTCACTTAGCCAGAAAAGTATAAAACAATTACCTAAAAAAAATTTTGAAGGCTTTAGTTAGGTTAAAAAAAATCCTTTGGCCACATGTTGTATGTAAGATCATGCATCACGACAGCTTATGGTATATTTTCAAGATAATCCATGTTTATATTCCAATTCTATTTTTAATTGGAGATAATAAAGTGCTATAGCTGTGGAAGGCATTGGATATTGCTTGCTATCCACTGCTATACCTACATGTTACAATATTTTTTAGAAAGCTTAACTCTTCTTAGCATTTTCAGCTACAAAATAACAATTTTCAGTCTACATCAGTTCCTGCTTCGGCATTTTAATCTAACTCTATCACCACTTCAAGACACTAAAGTTGAAAATATCAAACATGACATTAAATGGTCAATGGCTTACTTGCTCAAGATTATTCATTACTTACAATGAGTACAAAACAAGCTCACGGATCTGTACAGCAGTTAAAATGAGACAACATGGTTTGGAACAAAACTAGTTATTAAATCAGCACAAAACTATTCATTGTTTTAGATATAGAGAAAAAAGAATGAGCTGTCCTAGGTGCAGGAATAACAGACGTGTTAATTGAGTGACCATTGGATATCAGCATATTCTACTAGACACCACATTAAATGCTAACACTAAGAATTACAGAGTATCACAAAACTTAACAATGAATTATCACATTTTTATCTTCAATTCATTGATTGTAACAGTATAATACCTGAGTACTGCTCATGTTCATGTTTAAAAGCCGATATTTTTGAACGTGTATATGTAAGCAAAACTATGTTTTTAATGTGAGTAGCACTCCATTAGAAACTATCAATATTTTCAACAAATGAAATATTATGAATATACGTAAATTTGTAGTAAATTAGTCAGCAAGGATGTTTAAGTCCCAAGATTCATAACTTTCACATTCATTGATACTATTGCTATCGAAGATACAATGCAGTCAAACCCCGATTTGGAGGTTAGTTTAATAAACATGAAAATCTGAGTCTAGTTTAATTTTTCACAAATGAATTAGTTACAAAGATAACTACTTAAAAGAGAATATTCTTAAATAAAAACAATGTTTTACAAGTAATTACTTACATTCTCCTTTGGTTAGATTTTGTATTGTACGACAGACGTCGTCTGAACGTAAGCCGCTGTACCATTTCTAAGCTGAAATACGAAAGAAATTATAAGTAACACGTTGCCCACTATTAATTCCACTAGCTTTATTTCAAATTTCTTAGAATTATAACCAGATTATGATAGATTTTATTTAATTTATTTTACACCACACAAATCCCAACCTTTTTGACAGCTGTTGACAGGAAAAGAAAAACAATCTTGCTTATGGCAACTTTCAAAAACAGCACAGACTAAACCAGACAGACTTGACTAGACAGAGTGTCTTTCTAAAATCTTCAATTTCATCTCAAGAAGCATGTTAGAAAAATTTAAATATGGTAAATAGTGAAAAGAAAATATGCTGTGATTATCGAAAAAAGACATTTCAAAATTTCTGTTTAGGAAAATTAAAATTTCAGGGCTACGACAAATTTACTAGTTTTAGTAGCTATTTACGTCCTGATACGTCGTTATGGTCACCAATTCGGTTACAGCACGATACAATCAGTTACAGTCAACGTTGGAATTAATACTTTGCTACGAAAATACATTTTATGACAGTTGTGAGATTTAATGTTGATCGGAACTGAATTGGTACCGTACTTTTATAACGAGAATTGTCCTTCTGTCCGTTAAGGTGTCCTTAAACTCTATATTTGATATGGTGTACTAATGCTACTGTTGGATTTGAAATTGTTCAATACAGTTGATCAGTGCTTACACACAAACTCTCTTTGTAGCTATTTCTAACTACTCTAAATTTTTTTAGACAATGCGGTTCAATACTACAACTACAAAATACTTTAAAGACGAAATTATATAAAGTTAATCATCATCATCATCAACAGCCTTTAATAGTCCACTGCTGGACATAGGCCCGTCTTAGAAAGGAGGTTTTGGGCTAAAGTTAATAAAGACGAAATATAATAAAATAAATCAAATGTTAAATTTTTGGTTTTCTTTTTCAGCTGTTTATTAATTTCATTATTTGTTCCTCTAATGTGTTGTTTGTCATGTCTGATATATTGTGTCTTTGCAAGTTGAAAGCAATTTAAATTTTCCGTGCTGGTAACAAATTTGGAGTAAAACCAAAATGGCTGTCTGTGTGTAATGTTTGTGGCCTTGTTTTCCCTGTGTTTATAATTATTGGAAGTGATAAAAACGCTTCAATTTTTCAACGCAACGCAATATGGGTAAGTATAAAAATTTTTTCATACACTGTTATGTAATCCGTGTCTTCTGTTTATAAATTAAATTATACTGTCAATTGATCGTGATAGTTAGTCAGATGTTTATGAAGTGTGATGAAGCGAATGAGTTCTATCTTTAAAAAATGAAATGAAATTATCGAATGAAAATGAAATAATAATTTGGTCGGCTTCCAGTCTACTATTCGTCTTATCACATTCGCGTCGTCATGACTTAAAATGATTTCAAAACAACCTTATTCATTAATTGTAATTTTTACTATTATTATGTAGATTTTTCCATTTTTATTTTCAACGTAGTGCAGGAAATGTTATAAATGTGTCTAATCTGCTATTAACTCTTCTTATGTTTTTCTCTAAAAGTATGTGCGATAAGAAGTTCAAATAATTTCCAATAGGTGACGCTAGTTGTCAGGAAAACAATATTTTTGTCTGTTAACTAAAAATATTTACTGCTAATTTTTATTGCTTAAAATACTATGGTTATATAAAGTTATGTAGTTTATGGTCAGTGAAAAACAACAATTTAAATATTGAGGTGACACTATGTATAGATTAAATCTGGGCCCAGGGTCATGACCCCATGACCCTCCCCTTCTAAAAATCTGAATTGTAAATATTCTGTCTTTAGTGAATGAGTTTTATATCGATATAAAGATCTGTTACATTGGACATCTTAAGGTGACGAGTGGCGTATTTTACGAGGTAATTTTTTTGAGAAATAATGAAAATAGTAGTAAATCTATAAAATTGTAAACTCGGGTATTACGCCGATTTTGTAGAAATACGAACACATAGATCACACACACAGACACACACACGCGCATACGCATGCGCACACGCACACTCCCGCACACACATACACATTCACACCTTTATAAAAAATGTAGGATAAACGTAACACAAGTTGAAATTTACTATACAAGAATTACAAATTACAATGCCCCCCAGACGGGTTGGTATAGGCTTTGTTTCAAGTTTTCCTTCTCATTGTAGTCCTGTAGTTCTGCGTAGTTTGCTCCCTTATTCGGGTCTTTCGACACTCTTTGGTTGAATAGGGGTGGTGACGTGATACCACGGCCTCACAGAAAACCCGTGGTTAGTAACTCTTTCGTTACGCTTCTCACCGAGTGCGTGAGTCCTTCCCTCTATTTTGTGGGACGGACTCAATGGGCGGTAACGCGCTTTCGTCTTTTGCGTTGTATGTGTTTATGAGTGGCGGTAATCACTAACCATTAGGCGACTAGCGAAAACAAATATAATAAATCAGGATACAGTTAATATTCTCTCTTATATGTTAGTATACTATACTATAATAAAGTAGAAAAGCTTGTTTGTCTGTTTATTTGTTTAAAAGTCCTTTGAAAGTATTAGACTGTTTTGAATAATTTGAATAGAAAATTCATTTAGGAAAGTTGTAGGCTTTGTAGCATTCATTACGCTACGATATAATATAATTATGTTGGTCCAGTGGTTAGTGACCCTGACTGCTAAGCTGGAGGTCGTGGGTTCGATTCCAACCCAGAACAAATATTGTGTGGTGAGAACGGTCATTTGTTTTGTGTCTGGGTGTAATTTTTCGATAATATGTGTGTATTTAGGAATATGTATGTTTATCAGTAGTCTGGTTACCATAGCACAGACTCTGCCTAATTTGGGATCAGACGGCCGTGTGTAAGATGTGTGGGATATATTATTTATCGCACTCACCATAGTTATTGAGTACATACATACCCTTAAAATACCTGACGTTTCGACCAGGTTGCAGGGCGACAACGGCCGATTTGGCTTATTTTGGTCTATTTTTGCATATTTTCTCACTTTTCTAAGTTTAGACGATGAGAAAAAATGCGAGGAAAACAGTAAAAACAACAATTTTATTTTCCCATACAAAATGTTTCCCCTGTCAAATATTTGATATTCCCCTATGGGCGTCGTCGGCCTGATAAACTCGGATCTCTAGCCTGTTTTTTTTTTTTTTAAAGAAACAATATTACTTAATTATATTATATAGATAAATAGATGTAGGACACACGAAGTTCATTTTTAGTATTTAATGAATATAAATGCCAATCGCGAAAATAAATACCAAAAATCGTTATTATTAAGTAATCGTGTGCGGTATTTCCGGACCGATACGACGTTCAAACCTTCAAGAAAAGAGCGTACTCTTTCCTAAAAGGCCGCCAAGGCGTTTGTGACTCCTGAGTTGCAGACCTTCATGAGCGGCGATGGTCACTTTCCATCAGGTGACCCGTCTGCACGTCTGCCCAATCTAACATAAAAAAAATATATATAAGCATGTACAAGCAATAGTTTTCGCAGAAACAGAATATTACATAAATTCGTATAAGATCTTGTCTGTCTTAATGTAAAAGCTACTAAAACCATGTACAATCAATCTGATTTATAGATCAAATCGATTCCACTGATTTAATTAATTCCTTCCTAATTCACTCAGAGGCGCCAACATCTATTAAACAGACTAGCCTCAAGCCTGATTGGAGTACCTCTTAAAATTATTATTCCATTAGCTTAATGCTGCTATCGATTTTTTTTCCGATCATATAATTTTGTAGTTTATGTTAATCGTGTACTAAAAATACATGATTTGAAACATACTTAACTTTTATTGTCATTCATTAATAAAATGAAAGTTTATTAAACTAAAAATAGCAAGTTAATAGCAAATCGAAAGAAGAAATGACTTTTAATATTCACCTTTTTATTTTTTCGCTCGGAATCCCTCTCGGACCAGACGACCGGTATGGTGATTATTTCAAACTCGAACCGACTTCTCGGGTACCAGTACAAAAACAGGAAATTCCTATAAACGTACCCCCGGTAGGACCCCGGGCCATCTACAGCTTACAGATGGCCCCCTTGCGTTCCAATATCCACCTGGATTCCTCGTCAGATATTATCGTCACCAAGCTCAATATGACGTGCTCGTAAAAAATAACTGTATGACTTTACACGAAGAGTTTACATGTAGCCTCTGAGGAGTTCTTGTATCCAGCCCCGGGCTCCACCATCAGAACAACTCAAACATGTCAGACTATGATACTCGTATTGTCTACTCATCACGTTCAGTCAACTATGAGACGACTGAACTTTGGAGCGACTGCTTTCAGACCTTCACAACCCAAGTATTAAGTAACTAAGTACTCGAAGCTTTGTAGATAGACTTGTTGTCTATTGTGTATGTAAATACAAACATTTACTTAGATAACCTTTCATACGTGACATAATAAAATGACAATTCCGCGCATCCGTGAATCCCAGTACAGGACTCGTCACAGATAGGGTATTTTTTGAGACCTAGGTTATAAAAAATCTAGATTTTTTCGAAAGGTGATTGAATTTGTATAAAACTTCTTAGTTTTATAAATAAAACATATTTATTTACGTAATTTCCTACATTACACCTGGTTTTGATTGGAAGTGCAATTGTTATAAGGGAAATAAAATGGGTTACGTGTCCTGCTACAGGACTCGTCACGGACGAAAGGATAATATAATTAGCATTATAAAATGAACTTCTGAATTTTGTTATCATAGTTACTCAATATATTTATTGCATTCCACAATGTTTACTCAGATGGTACTCAAATATATGATCAGATCATCATGGACCCTTTCGGGCACAGCAATAGATGAGAGAGAGAGAGAGAGATAATACAAACTAATAACAATAATCATACTTCAGTTTTTTATGTACATGCTTAATTTATTGATTGCTCAGATATTCATTGACGCTCACAATTGTGAATAACAATTGTATAGGTCTTCATCGTTTATAATACTCTAAACGTTAATTCCACTCTATAAAAGTGTAGCTTTTGCTACAATCTTGTTGAATTTTGAATCTGTAGTCCGTAACACCGAAGTCTGATAAAGCTAATGTTTTCTGCAAAGCTAACACCTTCTTAGATTCCGTTAGATTCCAATATATTTTTATTTCTATTATGTGGTCTTTATGCAGTAGCAAGTAGGCAGTCTGATGAAGTTACTGGCGTTTTTTGCAAACTTGGTAGTGTAATCTTTCTAATGTGATCACACTGTATTCTGCTAGACAGGAGTAGAGGAAGAAGCCTAGAAAACTTTTGACAGATTTACTTTTTTAGAAAAAGAAATCGATTACGGCCCGGCTCAAAGATCTCGCAGCAAGTTTTGATTTACGTCATCATATAACATTTTTTTATCCCATACGTATAGATTAGACACGTCTGTAAACCATTTAATTTAATATCCATATATAAATCGTTGTAACAAATTTGGTACCCTATTTTGTATATTTCACATTTATGGGCTCATCCCATCCATGCGCGTACGCATTCGTTATGCGCCATGTTTCATTCGAGGTGTCAGAAATAAGCCTTTATAAAATGTTCAAAGGCGCTTAAGTTGTACATAATTTCAACCGCGAAGAACTTGGTTCCGAGAACCGTCCGACATTGAGATGGGTCATTTCGTAATAACAATAGCACGGATCTCAGGCAGGGTTGTCACTTACAATAAATACAATTTATTAATGGTTATGATTTCATGATTCATGAACGAGTTATTGAATAATAATTTCATGTGGTTTTCCTAAAGCGTTTATGGTATATATTTATATTTTATAAAAATTGATTTTCGTTAAAGTACCTTAAATCAATTTGAATACACTGCTAATTTGACTAAAAATGTGCAGAAATAATTTTGTATATTGAGACAAAAAAACTATTGTTAAGGCTTGAACATAGTAAACTTTATTATGTTAATTTTGTAATAATTTGCAGATATTTTTCTGTCCTTTCATTCAGTAATATTCTGTACGTTTGGGTCAGATTCAGAACTCCAAAGCCTGCTAAACAAATTGCAACGTTCCTTTGACACTTTTCCTTTTTTTAACCGACTTCAAAAAGGACAAGGTTTTTTAATTCGGATGTTTTTTTAAATGTATATTCAGGTATAACGCCGTCATATACCTAAATACAGATTTTCTATTTTTTTTTGTTCGAAAGGAGTTTATACAGAAATGCTATTTAAATTTCATATAGATCTAATGATAAGTTTCGGAGACAGACAACGGAACTCTTTAAAAAATTACAGCAATCAACCACGATTTCTGCTAGGTTCTTAGCGCTCTTTGTTAGTATTGTTTGAAGTCGGATCAACTTTCTTTTTTAAAAAGGTTATATCGATAAATAAAAAAGAAATACACGTGTACCATTAAAAAACAATGTCTGTTATAATCCATAAACACGTTATTAAAATGATTCAACTAAATTGTCACGTTTGAGTAGCTCACCACTTCACCAAATATATGGAAAGTTATATTGCTCTGTATGTCTGTGACTCATGGAAATTTATTATAATGATGTCAAAGTTCAATTTAAGCTGTTAACTTTTAACGCTATGAATAAATATTAGCCTTGTGTTATGTACTATTTGTGTTCATATTTCACTAAATATTTATGTCCTTATTTAGAGATATCGATTATGGTTCTTAAGCTGTTTTCGTTTTACGGACTCCGGTTTGTGTGTTACGTATGCTAAGATAATCTTAAATGGAATCTATGATTTGTATCGACTCGTATGTATTGAAAATGTTTTTTAAATTCACTATATAAATGACACTTAAGCGATAAGTAAAATAGTGGTGTTTAGGTGACCTCTTTTCCGGGAAGATAATTTGGTTCCCTCATGCTCTGTACGGTATTAAATTTCTTATTATTAAATTACGAAGTATGTATATATACATATAAATACGCAATGAGAACACAATTGTTTTATTGTTTTGGTTTTCTAACTAATTTTCAAAAAACTTCCCGTCTAAATTCCTCACTTGCATAAAAATTAATTGATTTAGAAATAAATGTTCTCACGCTGTGAACATGGAAACCGATTAAAGTAAAAGTGGCAACCCTACTCTGAAAAGGCAAGTCCATCAACTTTTTTCCTTATTTCCCTGTCGAGATTCGGTGCCCGACACCTCGTGACAATGGCGCTAGCAGCGCTCCGGCCGCGGCCGTCAAACTGACGGGACTATTGTTGCGTTAAGCTCAACGAACTTGGGTATTACTTTCCCCTAAGAAGCCTTTAGTATGTATTGATTATATAGAGACGATAAAAAAATGAAATCAGAATGATTTTCAAGTGTGCTCTTGCTGCAGCCATCTTGATAGTTAAGCTTTTAAATGAAAAATGTTATTTCAAGTTTGAATTTTGTTCCCTATGTTGTTCTTTTGTTGGGAAACGAGAAAGAGATAGGGAATGGGACGCATTTGTGCATGTTTGGAATATAAATAAAGATGTTTACTACAGTAATTTTGATTTTGGTTGGACTTGGACCTCAAAGACCTATGACTCTATAAGTGGAGCGTCGTAATATTTATACCTCGGAATCCAGTGCCAGTCAATGAATCTTCATTTAAAAAAAAAAACAGTTCGGCTACATTGATCCTGGAGTTTTACAATTTTTATTAAGACATCGGTACGTCAAGCTGTACCTATGATCTGTGGTAGAATAAAACACGAAGTAGGGCTATCTTAATACGAAGCATTTCTTAAACCGATACAAAGTATATAACAACACTTTTAGATGCTAGATATAGTTTCTATATCATGCCTATCGCAATCCACTGCTGGACATAGGCCTTTGGGCTTCTCGCATCCAGCTCCTGCCAGCCATCTTGCGCAAATCGTCACTCCACCTGGCCTGTGGA